GATAATTTTGAAACAAATCTCATGGTAAAGCTTTTTCTAATGTACCTCAATTTATGGACTCTTTACATATTTTCCTTAATTTTAAAATTAAAGATCAAAGATATATTTTTGCTACTTATGCATGGGATGCCCTTAAGTTAATAGTGATAATCAAGCAATATCAATGATTACATTTCTTACAAAATTAGAATATTGAAGCCAGATGATTAACAGTATGTGCCTAATCATCTTTGGGTTTTAAACACTTGCTAAGATTTTGGGACAGAATCACACACTGGTGATAAGTATGTATCTGACTGCCATTACTTTAATGCTTAATTAGCATGCTTCTTGACTAATAACAGGCCAGAATTATGCTATTTAGTGAAGTCAGTTTAGTCTAATATTATGGTATTATCTAGATACTAATGAAAATATTATCAAAAGAAAAGGGGGAAACATAAATGCTAATTAATGATCAAATCCTTGCCATTAAAGAAAAACAAATATCTTTACAGTACCTTTCATAGATAGAATGATAAACCTTATCTTAATTATAAGTAATTCTATCAGTAGAAAAAGAATTAATTGTATTTCAGATTCTTCTATCCTTGGTCTAAACAAAACATTATTTATGCAGTTGCACACATTAATTTTTCAGGCCTTCTGTGAATCTTTTTAAGGCAAAAGAATTTTCATTGTACAAAAGTGAATAAAAGCATTTTTTTGAAAAAAGTTCAACTTTTCATATAAGTTATTTAAACTTTGCAACTACTTTAGCAGAAGTACCGTGTTGGACTTAACTAGACGCTGTGTGTTGGACAAATGCCGCTGAAGTTACCAGAAGATCTGTGTTGGACAAATGCCGCTCAATGCCGCTGAAGTTACCAGAAGCTCTGTGTTGGACAAATGCCGCTCAATGCCGCTGTCTTTACCAGAGGCACTGTCTTGGACAAATGCTGCTCAATGCCGCTGACTTCACCAGAAGCTCTGTCTTGGACAAATGCCGCTCAATGCCGCTGATTTCACCAGAAACCCTGTGTTGGACGATTGCCGCTCAATGCCGCTGACTTTACCAGAAGCTCTGTCTTGGACAAATGCCGCTCAATGCCGCTGACTTTACCAGAAGCTCTGTCTTGGACAAATGCCGCTCAATGCCGCTGACCCAGAAGCTCTGTGTTGGACAAATGCCGCTCAATGCCGCTGACTTCATCAGAAGCTCTGTGTTGGACAAATGTCGCTCAATGCTGCTGACTTTACCAGAAGCTATGTCTTAGACAAATGCCTCTCAATGCTGCTGACTTTACCAGAAGCTCTATCTTGAGCAAACACCAAACACCAACCCATTTCTTTTGATTTTCGTGACTTCTTACATGAAGTATGAACCTGGAAAGGGACACACTGGTACCTATTTGAACAAACTTTAATGCCCTTTACTCAGGGATACTTTGTGCCAAGTTTCATTGAAGCTGACCCAGTGGTTTTGGAGAAGATGAAAATGAGGCAGTTTTAAGACGACAAGCACGACATACCTACAGACGACGGATTAATGCTCAGGTGAGCTAAAAATAAGCAAAGAAATAAAAAATTCAAAATTGCCAATACGCTAAAAACAAAGAAAAGAAAGACAAAAAAGAACATACATTTAGAAAGAAAGAAACTGACAGAAAACTTAATTAACGTTTTGTTTGAACAAAGTGGGAGAATATCAAGTCTACAATTATAGAAATTCTGTTAAATTCTTACTAATGGGAATGATTCAGATATGTTGATCTGTGTAACTGTGTCAAAGCTCAGTTTATAAGGCTGATACGTTTGATCCTTAATAAGGACGAGTGTGTGGATTTCCAAAGATATTTCTTCTTCGGCAATGATCTGCAATACAATTTCATAATAATTATTTAATATCAAATATTTAAATTTGTCCGTTTAGGACAATATAGTATTATCAAATTAAGGACAAACTCATAATCGTTAAAATCTTATTACATTTAACTATATATGCATACCATGCATGTTCGAAAGTGATCACTGGGGGGAAAGTTATTAAATAAAAAAAAAAAATAGCCGCATTATTAAAACAAAAATAATGTGACTATTCGTCGGGAAAAAATAACCTAGTCAGGCAGAGCCTCTGAAGCAAGACAACATACTTTCATGATTTCATCTCACTTCAACAAGTGAGCTTAAAAAGGGATATTATATTTACAGAACAAAAAGGAATTTTTGTGATGGTTTACTCAACTGTTCTTTATAAAATCGAGATTAAGAACGACCATCCGAAATCACATGAACATTACATTTGAAAAGTGAGGAAAATTACCCCTTAGTAGCTGAAGAAGAAAGAATTCTACCCGGTATTACCGTGTGTTCTGAAAATTTAAATAAAAAGAAAAAAGCTGCACATAATATCTGAATAACTGGAAGAAGAGTAGTATTGTCGACCTCCCCCCCCCCCCTCCTTTTTTACTGGTGGACGGACACTACTATTTAAAAAAGAGTGCCACAGAACTCTTACATCACAAGTCACACGTTCGTCTTTTTTTATTTTGGTATAATCCCTCTGTAAATCAGCAGGTCCGTTAAATTTCACTACATTCTTTAAATGTAATAAAAGTTATTTCATAAATCTAATACTAGCATACGGGATTTTCTAATAGAAATACTCACCGTACGGGATTTTTTGTAACAGAAATAATCACCACTTTTATCCGCTGATAAGAGTGAGCAATTGTGACGTCATAGCATTATTCCTTAGCGACGTCACAGTAGTCTTTCTAGGTGACGTCACGTGATTGGAAGAAAGAACGGTCACTCTATTTTCCCCATGCATTTTTATGTAGGGTATAAATAAAAGGAGATACATGTAATCTAAAATAAATATACAGAACTAGTTAATAAATTCTTTACATATATATACATGTATCAATATATATTATCCTATTTCTTTTTACAAATCAACAAATTACATTAAATTCTCATCAACAAGAGGACAGCATCATTTTTCCCCATACAAGATTCTTTGGCCTCTATCAGGACTTTCACCTTCCCCAGAACTAAATGTATCATGTTGTAAATTTTGAATTTACTAGGGGGAGGTATATTCAAAATTTACAACATGATAAATGTATAGGGCAATTGAAAAAAGCAGTGTGAGGTTATGACTCCCTCCTACGTGTACAAGATGGTTCCAGAGTTTGTGGTAATTTTGGAATGTTTAAAGAAAGTTATAAAAAGTGACTTATTGATGTTTAATTTATTACTTATATTTATACAATGTTAGATTGTTTGTCCCTTGGGTTCTAAAAATAAGCCATCATGTAAAATTCTTAGAAAAATATCACAAAGTAATATGTATCTATGCATGCATTTTTCCTCAAAATTCATCATTGTGATAGTCATTACAAGCATATCTATAGGCCTATGGGAAAAAAAGAAAAGTGATTAAAAAGCACCAATACCTGTATGCATTTTTTTTTTCTAGTAAGTTGGATATAATAAAAAAAATAGGTACCCGGGAAAAAAAACATGTTTTTGATACTTATGTAGTTGGATATATCTGAGAAAAGTAAAAGGAGAGAGTTTCAATTTATAGTTTCCTTGTCTTCTTTGATTACGATTACAGCCTTGTCAGGTATGTAGGTATGACGTATTTAAATACAAGGAATACATAGTATCTTCTGCGATATTTGAACGTATTTACGATTATACATATATGTATTTACAAGTAATATGTTAGGGAACGGTCATTTTATTCCCAGTGCACATGGGGGGGGGGGGCTTCTGCATGGAGGTTCCGTGAAAAAAATTTCATTAAAAAAAATGCATTGAAACAAAATTACTACAAGCTTTACTTATATTACTAGATGAGTTGTCTGCAGCTTAGATGCTTAGGATGTAAATTGTATACTTTTCACAAAGATGTTGACACGAACTATGATCTTAGAAAACAATTTTATTTACAAAATTTCCTCCGAAAGATGCCGGTAAGATTGCGTAGGTTCAAGAAAACTTATATTTTTGAGCAGATCTACCTGTGATGAGAATGGATATACATGGGGATAACGTGTTTCAGAGCCCCGAAAATGTTCATTTTATTTAGATAAATATACATGTACATGCATGATAAAAATACCTACATGATAACTTTGGGTTACTAAACTCACTTTCATTAAGAAAAATGGACCCCATAATGCCAAGCTTCCCCCCCCCCCTCTAGGGAATGATATGTAAAGGAAAAGAAAATAGACTCCTTGTTTTATAAACAATTTCTCTCTCTCTCTCTTTCTCTCTCTCTAACACCACCGTCACCAGACAATGACTTTAAGGACAGGCATACCTTCAGTTTCTTGGTTACAGGACATCCCATCAAGCAAATGGTTTTCTTGTAAGTGACCCTCCCCCCCCCCCCCAAATAATAAAATAAAATAAAATAAAAAAGGCAAACACACACACACACATTAAATATCTGTTAAAGGAGAAGAAAACGTTAACATTCCTCGTCCTTCTGTAATTAAAGAAAATTGGGGGGGGGGGGGTAAGAGTACGACATCTTTCTATTTTTATTTCTTTTTTTTAACAAGTGTTGATACATTGTTGTCAGATTTAATCCGGGGTTCATTAATTATAAGTCATGCACCTATCATCAGTAAATGAGGTCGCATCTGAAAATTGTTTGATCATGCTGTAATTCATATTTTTACTATGATAAAGGACGGGGTCTACTCCCTTCCTTACTTTCTTTAACCCCCCCCTCCCCGGAATAAAAAAATAACAGATTTTTTTTTAATCAGAAGTATCTATATTAACCCCCCCCCCCAAAAAAAAAGGAAAGAATTATGCTCTTCATGTGGAAAAAATGATTATTTTTAAATGTAAATAATAGGGTTAAATAATAATCTTGCGTAAAAAATGAAAAAAAAATAATGGAAATATGTTTCAGTGTAAATCCAGAATATTTTTGGAAGGAGTCGCGAATCTATCTTTGTACTGGGCATTTTCATTGGTCAGTTATTAATAGCATATCTCTGCGATGCATAAAAATGGCAACTGTCTGAACAATTTCTGTTGCGATTCTTCTAAAATTTAACGCTAAGAAAGACTTGATAATAATGATTATATGATCTTCTGGTACATAACAAGAAAGAGAATATATACGTAAGTATTTCAATTGTTTACTGATAAGTAATGCAAGGGTTTTATTGCCGATTTCTTTGTGTGAAGGGACGGCGGGTGAGGCCATGATGAAAATCTGTCGCTGAATCATACCTCATCACGTTCGTGTATATTTAGATTCGCCATATTAGAACAGAACCAAATAAAAAGTGTAGTATAGAATGTATACTTAAAGATTAATGTGAAATCCTGGTTATTGCAGTTCTACTGTGACAGTCGATCTCGGAGTAAAATAAAAATTTGCATGAATGAAATTGTTTCGAATTTCCTCCGACGAAGTATTGATTTACATATCTATTAGGTGTGCGTTATAATATAAGAGGTGATTGTGATGAAAATTATGCTTATTTTCTCTTTTTTTCAAAGCCTTATTTGTGTTTTCTTCACAATTCAAGTCTTTTATTTTAGCCAATAATTATTTTGAACATCTTAGCTTGTCATTACAATGGACTTCTACATTATTACTTACAAGGTTTGTGACTAAGTTCTGTCTACAGAAATATGGCGGGTTGTTCAAGTCCTTGAACAACTTGCCATATTTCAGTGTGGACAGTCAGTCACAAACCTAATAAGTGTTTTGTTTTGTTGAGGACAAAACTACCGAAATAAATAACAGTTATAAATGATTTTCTTGTCTGTGCAATTCTTCTTTACTCATCATCTTCTTGTTTACTGATTATGACACTGAACATTGGCACTTGGATTCAGGATGTTGCCAGCGATTTTTTTCTAACCATTGGGAAAGGGTCCGGTACTGGTTCAATTGGGAAAAATAGCATCAAAGTAGAACAAAGGAGAATTTTCTCTCATTTGAACAAATGAAACATATTTTGTGTTTATTCCAACCTCATTACCTATTACTCCGTGTTTTAAAGAATAAACAACAAATATTTATTTTTTTTCATATCAGTATCCCCTGTTTTCACATTTTCATGCTTTCAATTTGTCAAAATATATGACACTACGCTGTCTACACCACATGTCCCGCCATATTACGACTAATCTCTACTTTTGATTTATAATCAACTTGTACAGTGTTTCATATAAAAAGAATTACAATGTCATCGTAGTCTGTTGCTTGGCAGTTGAATTGGGAATTTTTAGTCTCGAAATTGGGAAAAATTAATGTTTTTTGGCATTGGAAATGGTACCATTTATCTGTACCAGTTAAAGAAGGAAAAAAAAACGCTGGGTACATTTTGTGTATTATGTGTTTTTCTAGGTGTGTCTGAATACGCTCATTAAAATAAAAATCAAAAATCGCTGAAATAAGCACATTTAAAAAATATCATATAAAAAGAGTGAAGGTATGACAGTTGCCATCTCGGATTTAGGGAGGTGCCTTGGTTCACACCTTATTTTAATCAATTGATTAATCAATATCTACACATTTCCTATCGGTGTCGGGTGAGACCTAGCTTCAGAAATGATTGAATAATGCCCTTTAATAGTCTGCCGATTTGAACTTGACGTATAAAACACTTTGTAAACCAGAACGTCATATACCTAGTACTGAAACTGAAAGCTTCTGATTAAGTAAAATGTAGAGGCGTCCATTGAATTACACAGAAAATCTAGAGAGAACAAGTTTGGCATGGTTTCCGAATTCTCTAGACTTTCATACACATAACTACTCTACACTTCTCCAACCATGAAATCAAATCCCCATAAAACAATATTTTTTCATCAAACCTTGAAAATTTGACCCCACAGAAATACATATTTTTACAGTAAATTGAATATGCAAAGAATGGTCAGTTTTATATAATTTATTATTAATCAATTTATTTGGCAGTTTCTGGAGCTTCACTAACCTTATTAGTGTAACCACCTACACGTTGTTTGTCTCTGAACTGACTGTTGCTAGCAGTACACAATGTATATACATTTAAAATGGATCTTGGCAACAAAGTTAAATTACCTCCAAGTTTGAATTATATGGCTACTTAAGTACTTTTGTTTTACATTAACTAGCCCAATGGACTAATGCAGCATAGATTTTTTTGTTCGCTCCGGCGTTTAAAATCAGTAACCCTGCGGCGCGTAGGGTGATGGTAATTGCACACCCCTGATACTGCGATAGAATGATTCAAGATCTTATTCTTGAATGAACTCATTTCACAAGGCAGAGTTATGGTGAGAATGATCAAGAATCCTGCTGACACCCCCCAGTGTTATACTTTGCATGTATATCTCTTTTCATTTCAATCCCCCCATCATAAGTAGACCATGTTGAATATAGTCACAGAAATAGGTGCTCTGAGTTAATATTTTAAAGCTTATAGCAAAATGTTAAGCATCAATATTAAAGGTATTGTTTATGATATGTGTTGACTTTTATTGTGTATAACATTCTATCCAATTTACTGTTAATTTATTTTAGTAACTATGTGTACTGTGTACTTGTATTATGCATATCTAATTACCTCCAAGTCAGAAGATTTAATTATGGTAATGCATGTTTGTCTAAGACTCATTTTTTAGAGTAAAGAAAATGAGAGGAAGACATCTGTGAAAATGAATTAAAGACAGTTCTTACATGCATGTGCATTATGGAGATAAAAGATTTTTATTGTATGAACTACTTTTGTCATTAAGTATAATACAACTGTAGAAATATCTTTTCTGATACAGAGGCTGTTTATAATGTTTATGAACTACAGTGACTGTGAAAACTAGACAAGGTCATCAAGAAAAAAAAATATAGCCATTACTTTGTGACTGTAAAAATGTAGACTTTTTACCATGCCATGAACAGTTTTTTTGTGCCCAGAAATTTAAATCACTGATGTCACATTCTAATATGAAGGTTACCTGGAAAAGTGATGTCTGATTTAAGATGTGTGTAACGTACTGGAAAATAAGAAATATATATACTGTATCAATATATATATATCAAAAAGTGGATTAAAAGTTTTAAAACAGAGGTTTTTCCAAAATATCCTCATCTGCATGGTCACTGTGGATAAATTATAAGTCACAGACAATTAAGACGCAAAAAATGTTGATGCTGAAAAATCAGTTCAAGAGAAATAGGTGTCTGAAGATTGTTGTTAACCAGAGGTTTTGTCCTGAAATCATTTGAGGTCTAGCTTAACATAGAAGCTAAAAAAAAATCTATTTCAAATTTGAAGTTTTCTATTTATACTAAAATGCTGATTTACAGATACATGCATTGCATGCAGTCAGTGTTTGGATGAAACATGCACAAATGTTTTCATAGACGGACTGTAATATCATCAGTGGGTTTTATTTCCTATTTAGACAAGCAGACATCATGTAGGTTGCAGAGGAAATGGTAAACTACCATCTTATCTCTGTACCTCAAAGATAAAAGCCGCACACATATATTTACTGCCCAGGTCATGTTACACTTGCCTGCTACAGGGTTGTACAAAATTTGATTACTGTAACTTATTTTGTCAAAAATAAGGAACTTTTTGATTTTTGAAATACAAACACTAAAACTCCATATTTTCAAGCTATATTTTAAATACGTTCTTAAAAAATCTATTATTTCTATATTGTATATGTCGGTTCACTAGCAAAATATATACTTGAAAGTTGTTTAATATTTATATACTTGTTGCATATATATACATTTATAGATAGTTTTATTGCTACCCTGTACTTGGAGTGAGATATCCAGTATTGATATTTGTTTGACTAGCCCAGAAGTGCTGTAAGATCTGTCTAAACACAAGTTATCTCACCTAAGCATCTGTTAATTTGTTTCTTGACTGACAGAAATTTACCACTGTATACATGTAAATTATGGATTCTACCGGTAATGATCAGGTCCTTTGGTTGTTAAACATGTATAGTAAATGAAATTCTTACATATCAGCATATACCAGGGTTGACCCTTAAGACCCGGGGGCCAGGGAATTTCCCGGTCTATATAATAATGCAATCCCACAGTTATTTTGGTATTCCTCCTAAACTCCCCATTAGGGGATGAACCCAAGATTCCCAACTACTTTTTAAATGTCCCCTTTCTATTTCAATTCTTAGGGACAACCCTGATATACACATATTTATTTAAAAATATAATTTATGCTCATTAATTTTAAAAATGTTAATTTTCAGTATTGCATTTGGTAACATATTGTGAATGTATACAAATTTTATTATGTTATAGGGTGATGAATAGTATTTATAACTGTATTTAAATTTTTGATAATATGCAGTGAAACAATATATTGTATGCTGTTGTTGTTTTTAAGTAAGGCATCTGTACACAATTTTTTATTAAGATGTATGTACACCTTTTTTTTTTTTTTTTGATAGAGTAAATTACATCGTTTGATAAGAAGTGTGCCATGGCTCAGGGTCGGCCAATCAAGTGTGTTGTAGTTGGGGACGGTACTGTTGGAAAGACGTGTATGCTGATCTCCTATACCACTGACAGCTTTCCAGGGGAATATGTGCCCACAGTGTAAGTCAACATTTAATATTATAGGGATGTATGTATCAATGATGTAACATTAACAAAATATACAGTTTCCTTGGGAATATATACCAGCAACTGTGCTGAAACAAATTCAGTTGAGAATTCTTACATGACAGAGATTCCTAACCTGTTTCCAATACTGATATGCCTTCAACTCTTGTCACTTAATTTTTTGAATTGTCAAGAGACACTTGATAAGTCTTGTGTCAAAAATCTTATGGAACAAGAGTTATGAAGAGTTGACAATGTACAATTGATCTTTGATATCTTTATCTGATGGATATATCGATCAAAGTGAGTTGAAAGTCCAAACAACTCTGTTTATCTGTATTAGAGTCTTAATATTTCAAATCCTCAAAGTTCTTTTTCTTGGCCCCATCAAGTTTGAGAATTGAGAGTTCTCAATTGTCAACCTCAGAGTTAAATTGCACACTTATATACAACACACATGCACTCAATGACCTTTCAAAGGAATTTTGAACAAGGCATCAGATGTAAGGGTTCATACTTTTGTTAGAGAAAACCAAAAAAAAAAGGTCATGGTTTGAGAATTTCAAAAACAGAGAGCAGTATCAGGAAAAAGGGAAATGTATTTTAGTATTTCTTACATCATCATTTCATAACAAGCACACAATGAATAAATCTGGATTACAAAAAATTAACAAAATAAAAATAGAGCCACTGAGGATTTCACTAAACTAAAAAGTTTGATGTAATGAGGCATGTTATTTCTTGAAACTTTACACAAAACAAATTCAGATTCAGAGCTGCCAACCCTTACAATTTTGGTGGACGTCTTATGGTTTAGAGCATCTAAATATGCCTTATTATTCTCCATTTATTCTTAAGATTTCCATTTTACTCCATCAAAAATTTGAAATATCGGTATTTACATAGCTGTCCACCTTCTGTTTTCAATATTATAATAAAAGTCGTGGTCCTTATAGCGCTTGCTTGTATTGTCATTGACCATTATATGCTAACTTGAGATCTCAGTCATTTAAAGTAAACAAAATGGAATTCAAAATTCTTCAGCAGCCAGGGACCTAAGTGGACTCTGGACCCCCTCCTTACGATTTTTAATTTTATAATGTTGGCAGCTTTGAAGATTTGATCACAACTTCTTAATTTTCTGTTACACAATAAAATCTATTTTCCTGTACTTGCAATTGACTAATATACCATATTTGACCCAATAGATTTTTGTTTTGTTCAAATGATACATGTACATACAGTGTTTTGAACATAAAACAAAGTAGGTATCTCTTTTATACATATCTTCATCTTGAATTCAAAAGATTTTAGTAAAAATATACCCTCAACTTGGGGCCTTGATCAGCATGAATTCAAGAAGTTGATTCTGTATATATACATGTACCCACTTTTATTGAGCATAATGCTCATAAGTTTCTTTTTAATATTAAAAATAATTCCTTTTTTCTGTAGATTTGACAATTACACTGCCAACATGATGGTAGATGGAGTTCCGGTCAGCTTAGGATTATGGGATACTGCTGGTCAAGAAGATTACGACAGATTACGACCACTTTCATATCCACAGGTTTTGTTGTTATACATTGTAACTGTATTGATTCAGTATTTTATTATGAAAAACTGAACCCTTTGTCAAAATGTAATAGTTATTTTATCATAAACATGAGGTTTAATATTTTTTAGGGGGGGGGGGGGGGGGGTGGACAGTGTTTTGCAGCTAAAAAGTTATTTTATATTTGAACCCTGGTTTAATATTTTGTGACATTACATATATAATATCTTGCTATTCATTGTTTGCATTTACAGATCAAGACCCTAATTGAAATTTTGTTTTAATTTGCAGACGGATGTCTTCTTAATATGTTTTAGTGTAGTCAGTCCTTCATCTTATGAAAATGTAACAACAAAATGGAATCCAGAAGTTAAACATCATTGCCCTGAGGCACCTATACTTTTAGTAGGTAAGTAGTGCCAAATGTCACACAGGCACACAACAGAAAATGTTATGGGAATGAGTCGATTTCAAACTGTGTGGTATTAAATGGAGTGGATGAAATATATTTTGGAAAACACTAGCTGACATAACATTTTGCTAGTTCAGTTTTCTTGGATTCTGTGGATAATTTTGATCACAAATTTACATATACTTAAAAGGAATATGGATTTCTATTAGGGATGTCAATTTTGTCAATAATTCATATTCGAATATTCGATGAAAGTATTCGAATATATTCGAATATTCGATAAAATAGATATAATCTGGTTTATTTTAAATGTGCATCATCATACTCTCATGACAGGTTTTGCGTCGATTTTTGGAAGTAAAGCTGGATATAGAACTTTGAAGGTGTATACTTATTCTACATATAATAAAAGTATTCTACATTTGAGATTTGTCAATGTTTGAAATAATTAATCGATTTAAGCGTATACAACTTAAAGTATAATTTTAACAAAGAATATTAATACAAGCTCAGACTGACGAACCAGTCGTCTAACCAGGGGCAAGATTGTCGCTAACTCTTCAGATTTGAATACATGTAATTAATTATAATTACCTGCCTAATAAGAGATATTATCTCTTTGATACAATGTTTTGAAAATATAAACAAACACTTCCATAGACTATTTTCATAGGTCATTAGCGTCCGATAATGATTTTAAAATTTAGGAATATATTCAACCCGAGATAATCAATTAATTGATGCATAATTGAACCCTTTAAGATATGACAGACTGATTCTATCATAGATTAATAAAATTTATTTTCACAAGTTTACTCTTCATGTCTCATAGGACCGGTACACACGGTAAGGCTTGCCTTATAAGTCAAAAACCTTACGTTTTTTGGAGGCTGTACGGCTTTCATGTCCACACGCTAAGGCAAGACTTACAATATTATAAACATTTCCATATATTCCACGTTTTTTCAGTCTTTAACAGTGCATTCATTCATTAAAGTAGAAGACGATATTACTAGGGCGCTGTAATAATTTTACTAACCAATGCATTCGTACTTCTTAAAAGAGGAAAAGATTAAACAGTGTATTTGTGGATACACTCATAAACTTTTTTGAAAATACTTTTTGTTTACTTCAATTACCCACCTGTATGGTTTGATAAAAATAGATTGACACTTGGGTGAATGTTTTCATTGGCTGAGAAGAAAAGGTCAGCTAAGTCTAAATCAGTGCTCTATTCATAAGTCAGACTTGTAATGCTCGAAAAAACGTGTATTAAGGGTGTACACTCGATAAGGTTAGAAGTTAAGTTCCATGACTTACAAGGCAAGCCTGCCGTGTGTACCGGCCCTAGACATGCTAAGAAGAGTTTTATTTCCTAGATTCGATCATATTAAGCTATTGAAAGTACTTTTTGTATTAAACCTTAATAAATCTTGTTTATTTTTACCTTACTCGAATCAAAATAATTTAGAAAATATATTAGATAAGAAAGTATGAAAGAAATCAGGCGATCGAAAATGATCGCTAGTTATAAAAAAAAAATAACGGGGATAATTTCGCACTCTTTTATGTGAAATCTGAAAAACACCGAATATTCGAATCTTAAATTCATATTCGAATATTAACGCATCGAAGGAATATTCGAATGTTCGAATATTCGTTGACATCCCTAATTTCTATTTAGAACAATTTTTCATGAACGTTTAAAATTTATTTTGAAAAGAAGTTCCCATGAAGAGGGGAATAAAAAAGTCCTATGCATCTGCATTTCAAAAAAAAAAAATAACAACAGAATTGAGCAGCAGGTATTAAAGACAATGAAGGATTCTGATATGAAGGATTTTTGCTTTCTCAGGAACTAAAATAGATTTACGAGAAAATAAAGAGGCGATAGGACAGCTAGCTGCCCAAGGTTTATCTCCAGTGAAGCGTGAACAGGGTATCAAGTTAGCCAATAAAATCCGAGCTGTAAAATACATGGAATGTTCTGCACTCACTCAAAGAGGTCTAAAGCAGGTACTTCTTTAGGATATCAACTATAAGGATGAATTTTACTGTCTGGAATGTTATAAAAGAGTTTCATATGGATACTGTAAATCAACATTTATTCATGTGCTAGAAATATCCTTGATGAGTTAAGCAACCTTCTTTTACTCATGAATAACTGTTACTGCTCTATTTGATGATGTATTTATGAAGAATGTTTTTTCAGTCACGAAATTTAAAAGTCTTGGATGGATTTTAACTGACAATCCAATAATAAAAGTTGTTGCAAAATAATAGTTGGTTTACTGTTTTTGACCTTTCTGAAATTAAAAAGTAGTGCAGTGAGAAACGCCTCCATTCTAATGATGTTTAATATTCTGGAAGGACAAAAACTGGATACCATGTAATAAAATTTGTTTTTGCAGGTGTTCGATGAAGCATGTAGAGCAGTGTTGCAACCACAACCAATTAGAACAAAAAATCATAAATGTCAGCTTCTATGATCTGTGACTATCAGCTGTTCATTTGGGGGATATGACATCATCTAAAACCATCATCTACCTGTATATATCCAGTGTGTATGATGTTGTCAATTTCTGTTCTTATAGTGTGATATTATTGTGTATCATGCACATTGTTTCTAAGGGACATATAAACTGGTATGTGTACTGTCTAGTTTACATGTTTGTGTGAGGGTCAACATTTGTGAGAAAAAAAAATTCCTGCTTATAAGACCAAACCTTTTCCAAAAAATTTTAGTGAAGAACATCATGCACTATTGGTGTACAAACAGTAATTTTTTTCTTATAATTTCACATTATAGTATTTAGAGTTTACAAAGTTTATTTGAATTAATAATTACCCCATTTTTTAAATGTTTGTAATAAATGTATAGCAGCAAGCAGAACTTTATATACCGGTATGTGGAAATATTTGAAAATATTTGATTAATAGAATAAATAACATTATTATTTCTTTTTAAACTCTGATAAATACATCTACCATTAATTCTTTTGGTTTTAGCTTTGTTTAAGTGTTTGTATTGAAATTAAGAATGAAATTTTCAGTTCCATTGTAACATACATTTATAATTCATTGATGAAATATCTAATACCAGAGTTATCACTCTTGGAGAACCTTATGTTACATATGAGACAAACACCTTATGAATTGATAATTCAACTCCTTCTATACTCTTTCTGTCTTTCAAATTTAAAATCTGTTATGATAATGTCCAATGAAGAAAAAAAAGAAAAAGAATCTTTGTTGATTATTCTTGCTGACAGAACAGACAATCAAATAGATATGAAGATTTATTCTGACTTCATTCAGATATGCATGGGAGGTTAGTCAGGCTTTTGTTGATAGAAGATGGGTGTATTTGGCATGTGATCTGCAGGAATCATGTGTATGAAACATTTATAGTTTAAATATCCGTGATTTGGTTGGCTGACTACAGATGGACATACATTTACAAAGTTTCACACTTATGAAAATGATATATTTACTATGATATACCTTGTCAGATTGTAATATTTAAGTCTTAATAGTTACATGTACGACAACAGTAACAGTTAACATAAATAACAACGTTTTAATATCAAGGAGAGATGACCCAGAGATCGCAAATATTTAAAAAAATGTGTTTAAAAGTGTAACAGTTTGTACCAAAATGACTCATCTAGCATATTTTCGAGTTATTTTTTAGCGAATCTAAACACAATATCAGGAAAATATTTCCCTTTCCTACTTCACAGGAACCAGATACATCAAAAGAATGCTAAAATTTCACATAACAGAGCAATGAAATTTCACTTCAAGTATGCCCAGATTCCTGCTGAATGCCAATCAAATGCACCCTTGTTCTTTTGAGGTAAATTCACACACTGTGGCTCTGTATATGTAGCTTTAGCTGAAAATCCTCTGAGTATGGTATGACCATTTAATATTTTGTTCATATTTTATTCCCATAAGCTATTTTGAAACTGGAGATAAGTTGTAATTGTGTAGCTGGCATTAGGAGTGGATGCCACAATGTGTGCCTTTAACAGGATAAATTATACCAAGATTTTTTTCTCTGGTGATGGGGTATCATTTCCCCCACAACATTTTTGATATAGTCTACAAGTTTTAAAAAAAAAAGGCTTTCTACAAACGTGTGTTAAAATATATATATATCTATTGCATATTGGCATATCTTTTTTGCGTGTATTTTATAGAAAATCATATATCAAAATCATGATATGATTAAATTATCATTTTTAATCAAGAATAAGGTTTTGTAACAGAAAATGTCACTTTTATAATTTATCAGGAGGGATTTATCCAATGGGGAGGTTTTTCTAAAGGTTGTGATCCACTGTTGTCAGTTTCATGTTGTATTTGACCTATGACCTTGACCTTTTGTTGCCATAGACTTTGTAACCTATATAATGTTAATATTGTATACAAAGGAGGATTATATTATATTGCTTAAGGTGCACACCAATATTTACAAAATGTATATGTAAACATTTTAAAGGTAGTTATTTAATGTTGTAATTTTATTAAGGCCATATTCTATTACAGTATGTAGAATTGAAGTATCCTATTAAAATCAATGTCACAGCCTGAATATAAGCTTTTACAATTTATACTTGATGAATTTTTTGGCATCAAATACTTTTTTAATTTGTTGTTTACATATGCCGCATATTCATTAGATTGAGAAAAAATTAGTTCATAGGGTTGAAAATACTGTTTTACTGCACATTTCAAATAATCAACCATTGTATTTAGATTATGCCAGAATATATGTGAGGTCATGTTGATGAGTTTGACAGATATATGAGCCATTATAATGTTTGCTTTAATACACAAAAGCAAAGACCCTGAGTAGAAGTAGGAAAAAATGATGATTCACAAAGAAAAACAAAACAGCTTTGTCAGGGATGTTAAATTTGATGTTGTGTACAGTTGTAATGAATAATACCTTTGTTTTTGATAGATAGCGATATCTAGTCATTCATTTCTATATTCTCATGTATCTTATGATAATTTACATTAAATGAATGATATGCACACAAATCATTAATTCATATTATGATGCAGTATTTCTGAAACAAATTCTAGCTTTGTATTTGTAAAAATTCCTGTGGAATATACATTAAAATATATGTGCTTTCCATTTGGTTGCACAAAATTTGTGTTTGTATCACTGTATAATAGTGAAAAGATGCAGCTATTGGAAATATTTTACTGTAAAATGCCTCTTACATCCATCATTTGTGTTTTGGAATGAATATGAAACCTTCCCATCTGGTTAGGCTTTGTATAGGCCTAGGTTATTTTTACCTGATGTCCTGTTGACCATATTCTTGTCATTTGCAGAGATTTTTGCAGTCAACATATTTCAACTATGTAAATATTAAACATTTGACATTTTGGAACAGAAAGAGAGAATGTTTTCAGAATGCAAATCCAATTTTTTTTAAAATTTAAGTGATTTCAAATTCAGATAACCATTACTTAAAGATTTATTTATAAGACTAAGAATTTGGTCAAAGTATAAGCAAATTATTGTCTGAACAACTGCCCTGGTTGGGTGTAGTTCACTAGGTTATATATCATAAACTTGATATGGAGTTATCTACCTTTAAATAAGTATTTTACAGAGCAGCAAGCGTACATGTATTACTTGAATTATATGGCAGAAATTATAAAAAGTACGTTAGCTATTAAATATCTAGCTTAAAAATGTGAAGCTTAAACAAGGAAAGGTAATTTTTTCAAAAAATATTTAAGAATTGTGAACTTTAATGTCTCTTGGAAATACATATTTCTTTTCAACCGTATCAATGTCTTTTAGATTTATGATGCAAATTTATGACTAAACGAGATTGCTTTCGAAAATATGGTACAGTGTTTATGTATATTAAAAAAATTCTGCAGAAAATTCCAATTTGTAATTTTGCATTGGTGAAATTGAAAATCTGCTTCATGAAATTCGACACACACATCAAGCTATTCATTACAGGGGCATATTGTTTATCAAAGACTTCCATGAAAATAAGTAATCAAGAGACGTGAGCCTGTACAACATACCCGATTTTTTTAGTGGTGATCTGTTCGTGTTCACACTTCTTTTGTTTGATCTGCCAAAACTGCTGATGTTGAATTTTATTAATCAGAGTATACTACAATATTAAATCTGGCTATGAAACACAAATATTTTGTTCTATCGAAATAAATACAAAATCATGTCACTTTTAAGTCTTCGAGTATCCTTGACCTTTGTGTACGTGAATTTATAGTGAGTTATTTTGCCTTGTTGGGATTTTTGTTCTTTGATAGATGAAATACATCTACATGACTTAAAATGCATATGGCTATTAAAATGTCAGAATCCGAAATAAATGTTTTGAATTTAGTTGATACATGTACCGTTGAAATAAGCATTACCACACTATTTACTGCAAACGATTATATACATGTATGTATGTCATCTGCTATGTTTTTGTATCATAGTTCATGTCACATGTGCAATATATAGAATAAACACGTACAACGGAGTGTTTGAGTCTTGAGTATCAAAAACCCCCTTTTCCCTACGACAGCAACATGTAATACATGCATGTATTCTCCGACGTTATATTTCACGTGAATTCAGTATACAGTAACAACTGAGTTGAAACTACTCGGTATATGCTGTCAGTCAACCGTCATGATTCACTACTGCCAGTAAACAACTGTCATGTTAAACTACTGCCTGTAAACAACTGTCAAGTTCACTGCTACTAATAAACAACTGTCATGTTAAGCTACTGCCAGTAAGCAACTGTCATGTTAAACTACTGCCTGTAAACAAATGTCATGTTAAACTACTACCTGTAAACAACTGTCATGTTAAACTACTACCCGTAAACAACTGTCAAGTTCACTGCTACCAATAAACAACTGTCATGTTAAGCTACTGCCTATGCAGGTAAAGTACTTAAATTAAAGATAAGTACTTAATAAACAATATCATGATACTGAAGATAATAGTTTAACGTTATACATAAATTATTTAATTGGTTTCAACTCCAGTCTGTCATGAAGATACTGCTTTTATTTTCATATCTGCATTGCCAAAAAAAACAAGATGTGTTTGTGAAACACTGATGCCCCCGTATGGCAGCTTATGGCGAAGGTTAATGTTTCTCAAATGCAAGTCAAAATCCAGGCCAAAAGATATAAAAAAAATGTTGACCTAAAGAAAGGTCTTGTCTCGAGGAATATATCTGTGAAATTTGAAAGCCCTAGCTGCAACTGTTCAAAAGTTATGGCGAAGGTTAAAGTTTTTTAAAAGTAAGTAAAACGTCAAGGTCAAAGTTGTTGGTATCCAAAGGAAGGTCTTGTCACAAGGATTACATATGTGAAGTATGAAAGCCCTAGCACCAAACATTCAAAAGTTATGGCCAAGGTTAAAGTTTTTCGAAAGTAGGTCAAACTCCTCTGTCAAGGTCAAAGGGTCAAAGTGGTTGGTATCCAAAGGAAGGTGATGTCACAAGGATTACATATGTGAAGTATGAAAGCCCTAGCATCAACCATTCAAAAGTTATGGCCAAGGTTAATGTTTTTCAAAAGTAGGTCAAACTCCTAGGTCAAGGTCAAAAGGTCAAAGTGGTTGGTATCCTAAAAAAGGTCTTGTCACAAGGATTACATATGTGAAGTATGAAAGCCCAAGCACCAACTGTTCAAAAGTTATGGCCAAGGTTATAAAGTTTTTCAAAAGTAGGTCAAACTCCAAGGCCAAGGTCAAAAGGTCAAAGCTGTTGGTATCCAAAGGAAGACCTTGTCACAAAGAATACAAATGTGAAGTTTGAAACCCCAAGCACCAACTGTTCAGAAGTTATGGCCAAGGTTAAAGTCTCATAAAATTTTGCAAAAGTGGGTCAAACTCCAAGGTCAAGGTCAAATATGATGGTACCCAAAGAAAGGTCTTGTCACAAGGAAAACACATGTGAAATATGAAAGTCATAGCTCCAACCAATGAAAAGATATGGGCAAGGTTAAAGTTGACAACAGACAGACAGACAAACGGGCAAACAGACAGGACAAAAACAATATATCTCCGGGATCTTTCGATCCCGGGGCATAAAAAAGACAACACATTTTGTTTAAACACATTTAGTTTAAAAGTTTTAACATACTTATCTTCAATTGAAATCATGCCAAATTTACCACGTGAATTACTAGTATCGAGATACATGTACTATGTTTACCTCTGCACCACATAACTTTCTGCAATTTTAAGTCGTATCGAACCACAAACTCAAAGTTATCTAAAATCGTGGTTTGTTATCTCACACGAAGGACGAAAATCGGTAATGTTGCTTTGTAGCTTTATTAAACATTGATTATACTCAACATGTTATGTGATAAAAAATTCATATTACACCGACAATTTTAATATACATGTGTATGTAGATTGCATTTTAAAAAAAAGAGATAGGTTTTTTTTTTTAAATTTTTCATGAAGCTTTGCTACGCCAGATACATTTTTACTCAATGTAAATGAATAATCACAAATTATTAGGATTATTGTGAAGTCGCCGTCAGTGTCAAGGTTAATGGTTTATTATTATTTTGTGATGCTTCTGAGACAATATTTGAAAAAAAAAAAAACAAGACATGTTCTTAGTAAATAATAGTATGACAACTTTAATTTAAAAGAAATAGGCTATGATTACATGCTGAGTTTTTATACTCGTGATACCTAAATTAAATACAGCCACCTTTTGGAAATTTTATGACAGCAGATTGAAAAATGTTTCATGTGTGGTTTTAATAAAATCAATTCAGTAATATGATGACGTAATTCCTACTTTTTAGACCTACATGGATTATATAAGCCTCCATAGCTCAGTGGTTAGAGCACTGGTCTTGTAAACCAGGGGTCGTGAGTTCGATCCTCACTGGGGGCTTGTATACACAGTGCGATTTTTTATAATGTTTTTGTAGGCCTATTTCAAGAATGTTTTAAATAATGTGGAACACGGGCATTTTATCAGAGAGAGAGAGAGAGAGAAGTACATTGTTTTAGAGTCTTGATTTTTCTTTAATCAAATACTTTTATTTTTTTTTTAGCGTATTACTGGCCAATTAGCCCTGAAGTTATATATTTCCTCATTCAGCAGTTTTACAATACGATAATCATATATACGTACCCAGAAATTGAAATAAAATAACAGCTTATATGTAGGAAAAGTGTCATGTTGTAAAGAACCACGCACGCTAACTCTCGATTCCCGCCTACATTTTACACCCATTTAATTCAATATAAATGGCAGTTTGGTCATTAAAACTTGCAATTGATTGAATGCAAAGAAGAGTCCATTGTTAATTGATTAATAATTTTAAAACCAGTGTTAAAAAATTAATTGCTCGTATTTACGACTCGTTTCAAAAGGGGGGTTGAAAATTTTATCCATTGAAATCAGGCTTTAAAAATCGCTAGATTTCCAAAAAACACATGGAAATGGAAAAACGATCCTTAAAACTTTCCGTATGTTTAACGAATGTAAAATTCAAAATAAAAAATTGATAAAAGACCTTATTTTATTCGTAATCGCCTTTGAAATTGATTATTAAATGACCATTTTCGCAGTTTTTTGTTTGTAAACATTATTCCCCCCGATGAAACAACAAAAGCTTTAATCGGTATGCATTTGTGAAATAACAATTCATTAAACCCATAAAAAGGAATTTTTGTTTCACGGGGGTTAAAAATATTTTCCGTTTCCCGTTGATTTCTATAGTGAAAAACGCAATTTTACCAAAATTAGAGTTATCTGTCTTAATTTTCCCAAATAAGTGATGTTTTATGAAAATTCACATAAATATCTATATAAATATGAAAAATCATTCAAATGTGTTAACTTTTGACTTGGAGGTAGGCGGCAGAACAATACTATCGTTCGCAGTTCTTTGGTTGAACTTGGCCTAGCAGTTCTAGAGAAGAAGAAAATGTGAAAAGTTTACAAAGACTACGACTCCAACAACGACAGACAACAGATAAAGGACTATATTCGGTAATGACCAATATTTGCCCCCAAGATCAAACTTTGACGGAGAAATGTATAATTATGTTCTAAAACAGGGGAATGTCTGCAGACTTCAAAGCACTGAATATTTTCATAAGCCATGACGCCATATGTTAGATATGACGTCAAAAAGATGACGTAAATTCAAAATTTCAATGATTTATACAGAAAAGGTGTATATTACGTCGATAATTTGAGTAAAAGTCACCGAGCGCAGGTCTGCTCCAACTCAATATTTTGATATAATATGTAGAATGATAATATCAATGAAATATGTAAATGTTGTTCTTGAGCAGGCCTGCGCTCTATAAATTTTATAGTAAAAATTGAATAAATTTTGTCCATTTTGTCCTTTTTCTGACCCCCCCCCCCCCCACAAAATTCGAATAGTTTTCGACGTCATAGAAACAAAAGTTGCCAATAATCTACTTCGAAACTATAATATTTTTTGTTAATTTAGATTTCTCACACAATATACATTGTATACAATTCAGCACATTTCAAGAAATTTTCAAAATATGACTTTTGTGGGGGCAAAAATATGCATATACCGCAAATAGTTCTTTCCATCAGAAAAGCTCAATTGAGCCTATGGCTCAAGTGAGCTAAAAACGAAAATTCCTTAACCTTATTGCATATCTGTAGAATATCAGAAATTATCTCTCCAAAGATAAATTGGCTACTCGACCCCAAAATGGCCCCAAGAGTCAAAATGAAAAATTCTAGAAACTTTTTGCACATCTACACTATGCAAAATGCAAGAGCAAGAAAAATACAGAGAACTAGATACGATCTCGCTGCGAGCAACGAGAGGTCTTCCGTCCGATTCTGAAAAAAAAACCGTAAATCGAGCTGAAAAAATTAAAAAAATAATTGGACACAAGGGGTATTGAACTCAAGTCGCCAGCATGAAAATCCAACGCGCTAAATACTACGCTATTGGGACAACTGCTCTAAATCTACTTGTATATACTTCTGCAATAGTGCATCTGTCTTAGAATTAAGAAAGGCGGGTCACCATTCATAATTTTGCGCCAAACGCCACGAGTTAATCTTCGCGCCTTTTCTTTGGAATGTTCTATTAAAAAGGTGTGATAGCTTGAATGAAATTAATAAAAGAACGTTCCAATTAGTTACTCTTTCATGAAAGGGTTGGAATGCTTCGCCAAAAAACAAACATCGCTTTACGACGGTCAAGGAATCAGACACCATTTATGTTCAATAACTTGCATCAGATCTTTGAGAAAAAAAATGTTTATATAAACTTCATTAAGCGATCTTTTAAAATATGGTTTTCTTACCTTTGTCTTTTCTATTAGTTTAATATGACACAAGTGTGCATGGGAAAACAGAGGTCACGTTTTACACTTACTATAGATATTGTCTCTTGAAAAACTATAATTACTTATAACCATGATTTAATATCTGTTTTTCTATTATGCAAAACAAAAGGTTTTAGATATCGTATTTCATTTGTACATGTAGTCTTCTCTTTTTTTACTTTGAGAACCGGCCAAAAGCAGTTATAGATGACGTTTGAGAACACATTGGCTTAAAACTGAATTTGACACAGAATTGCAACGTAACTACGACGTGACAATCCATGTATTCTTTAACTTTACTTATAACTATGATTTAAGATCTGTTTTTCCGTGGTGCAAAACAAAAGATAGTAGGTATCTTATTTCATTTGCACATTTAGTCTTTTCTTTTTCTACTTTGAGAACCAGCCAAAAACAATTTTAGTTAGACACAGAAATGCAACGTAAATACTACGTGACAATCAAAGCATCCATTTACATTTCATTTATCCTTATGTGACTTTCGTTCAAGCAAACGCTCAGCTGCCTCTTTAACCCCCTACTCGTAAAATATCGGAGTTGATTGAGACCCGCCTCAGATTTTCAAATGTTAATATCTAGAGTTTAGATTTATCAATATTAAAACAAATTATATAGTAAGCATTATAAGAAAGGTCTCTATTAACATTCCAAAAAGAAATGAAAAATTTTAAAAAACAAAAAAGTTAGAAAATTCGACTTTTTAAATTCGCATATGGTAACGACCGGAAGTCCTGACGACGAACGAAAGGTCACGTCCTGGATAGTACTTATCACGATCTATAATCCCTGAAAGTTTCACGTTGATATTTTTTACCGTTCTTGAGATTATCCGTGGACAAAATGTCATTTTAATTTCAGAAAATGGTTCGTAACTTGGCACCGGAAGCGAATTTCCAAAAAATCTCTCGGATAAAATAACTTCAGATAACAACACATTGTTTCCGTAAATTTCATGAAAATCCACCCAGTAGTCTCCAAGAAATCGCGTGCACAAAATTAAGTGGGCGGAAAAATAATAATAATAAGAAACAGTAGAATCACTATAAGGTCTTCCGTGAAGAAGGAAGACCTTAATAAGGTTTTAGATGAAAAATGACGTTTTTGGGCCCCAACTTGGCCCAGAGGTTAAAAATGAAAAATATCAAACCTTATTGCACATATACAGGATATCATCTGTCATATTTCGAAAGATAAATTGCCTTCTCCGTGAAATGTAGAGGGATTGAGGAAAAAGACTTTATAGAAAAACGTCGTTTTTCGACCCCCAATTGGCTCCCATGTTCTGAAACCTTATTGCACGTTTACAGGACACTACTAGTATCTATCATATTGCAAAAGATGAATTGACTATTGCTTAAAATATAAGAGGAGTTTGAGGGAACAGATAGTGTGACGGACGGACGGATGGACAGACAAGTGTAACAATAATATACTCGGACTTATTTTAGAAAGTGCAGGTACAATTATCTTTCGTTTGACATTCTCAAAATGTCTATTAAAATTTTCTTCAGAAATTATTTATCAAAATGAATGTTTGAACACAAGTATTTGCATAATTTATAATAAGAACAGTACACATCAGAAATATTTATATTGTCTTTCCTGATATACTTTATTTTAACAAATAAAATATAAAGTATATCAGGAGGGACAATATTAATAGTATTTGCAATCATCTTTAATTATAAGATTATATAAGATATAAGATTATAAGTGACATCCAATTAATTCTTTTTAGAAGCATTTAGTTATTACAACTCTCACTGTTATAAAGTTCAACAAAGTTTGGCATATTTTGATTTTCTCATTCGTACTTTTATGCCCCTTCTTTCTAAAGAAAGTTCGGGTATATTATTATCATCCACGTCCATCCGTCCATCTGTCACACTATACCTACATTTAAGAATATACGACTTTCATTTAATTTGTTGCTAATGACATATTCAAACATATTCAGAATTCATATTCTATACTGTTTACATATCAATCTTTTTTCTCTCCATCTCAAACATCTATTTATAAGTACTTCAAAGGATATGGCATTGTCTTTTTTCAGTGTTTGATCTATGTATCATAAGAGAAATTAGCATAAAATGAGAAAATCAAAATATGTGATTAACTAAGCATTTGGTTGAAAAGATTAACAATTTATGCAGGATTCAACAATACATAGCAGTCCCCCCCCCCCCCAAAAAAAAAAAAAGAAAAAAAAAGTTAATTATCGAATGGTTATAGTGCATACAGACTCATATTACTATTAGCTAGATATGTGCAAAAACAAAAACAACGTAACACCAACATTAATAAGAAAAAACATCCAAAAGCAAAGAAAGTCAATCGCTGATGAAACATCATTCCATTCAATGTCATGCTCATTGATCGCTTCTTCTTTTTCTTCACTTTTTACTACGATAACTGCGTCAACTTTTCCAGAAGAGCGGCACCCTTTGACGCATCTCAGACACTGCTCAAACCTGACAATTCCCACAAAGACCTTTGACATACCATGGTTACTCTTCCTGTGATGCAATCGCAGTTGTATTGCGGAGATAACAAGAACAAATGCCCCGATCAACATTTGAAGAACAAGGTAAACGCTAAGGAATGATGTATTTTCAGAATTTGCTGGTAATTCCTCACTAATTATAGTAAGAAATACCGCAAACGCCAGAAAAACAGTCACGGAGTACCCCATTTTCTCCCCTGCATCAACGGGAATGACGAAAACCAACAGACTCAAGAAGCCCAAACAGATAATAGGGAGAATCATATTTAAGACATAATACTGGGATTTTCGTTGTAGTTCAATAGTAAATGATATTTCTGATTCATAGGCGTCTCTTTTAATTTCAGAATTGGTTGACAACATTGTCCAAACACTGTTTTCCTCATATTCATAAAAGGATATCCCATTAGAAGATTTCGTAATTATAACTTCATTGACGGAATAGCTCCAAACTATAAATGTTATCTTGCATGTTTGTTTATCATAAGGGAAGTAAGTAATATCAATGGAACAGCGAGTTTCGAATACTTCGTACGGATACCACAGGATGTGTCCGGTGTTATGAACTGAGAGAAAGTAGAAGGATCCTCCCAATTCATGAAATCTCTCAAAGCCATTTTTCAGCACCAAATCTGGCTTCCAAATGTCGTTCTGAAATGATAAGATAATAAAATGATAATAACTACGATATGCATATTCATATGGGTAAGTTTATTGAGGTAAGGTTAACTTGTACACTTATACATGTAGTTCAATGAATATCAGCTCCATTTTAAAGACACCATAACTAAATGTAGATAAAAAAATATTTTATATCTTTTCACTAGAGAAATTAATGGCATCCATGTAAATTATTCCATGGCTCTATTGTAGTCATCTCATATTTATTGTTTGTTTGTATGTTGTTTAACGTCCCTCTCGAGAATTTTTCACTCATATGGAGACGCCACCACTTGCCGGTGGAGGGCTGCAAATTTTGTCCTATGCTCGGCACTTACGGCCATTGAGCAGTGAGGGATCTTTATCGTGCCAGCACCTACTGCGACACAGGACCTCGGTTTATACGGTCTCATCCGAAGAACCGGTCTCCACGTCCCACAGTGGAATTCGAACCCGCGACGTAAGGATCAACTCCTTACTTCGCGACTCTAGAGCAGACGCTCTAACCACTGCGCCACGCGGACGACCATCTCATATTTAAAAAAAACATTTGATACCATGATTTATTTGAAAACCTATTCAGTGATTACGAGTACAAACCTGAGGAAGAAAGATGGATTTTATGTCATTTCTGTTGACAGGATCCCATTGTAAGAGATCATCAATCCACGACAGACCCAGAAAACCTGTCGTCACCAGCTTTTCATTCACCTCATCTACCTGGTTAACACTGCAAAGGAACATACTGACATCAAGGATGATAGGGGAAAACTGGTCACTCACAGGACGGACTTTATGGCTGTAGTTGGCAAATAGATCTTCCATTAGACTGTTTACATCGGCAGGTGTCTGACTTTCCACACATCTCCCAAAGAGTGCCAACAGGAAAGTAAAATAGCCAGGAGAACGAACCAACATCGTTATATCCCAATCAAGCTGACAGAAATTAATACATGTACTTGTGAATGTAACTACACGTATGATCTTTTCCTTCAGAGTAAAGGTTGGTCATCTTTCAGAGTACATAAAAATCCATCATTACAAAGAAAATTCTTTAAACTGGATGAGGAAAGTATTTCTTACACGTTTGTACACTAGATATGTTTTTGGTGCATCAATTTCTTTTCATTGTAAAAGAAACAGTCCCAATTTCCGTTCAACGTTATAGGTTGTTAAAAGCTGAGTTGCAAGGTTATTATTATTAAGGATCACAATACCAAGAGATCACATTCCTTTTTAAAAGACCTCTTTATCAATTTCGTAAATATTGTAGTTTTTGATACAGGTTACATGCACCTTTGTATAAAGATATTCAATAGGACAGGATTAATGACATTTTAATGCATAGGTAATAGTTTATTATAACTGGATCTTTTATTTGTACTTTCCAATCACTAGATAATATCAGTTGTCAGGCTTACTTTTGTATAAAGAAGTATACTTTTAATGCCCTGCATTTAATGAAAAGAAATTGTTGGAGATACTAGACGGCCAAGAAAGTACTAGTCCTGGAACTGACAGAGACTGCATGTCTGCTGGTCGGGAGGGGGGGGGCAGTTGTGTGAAAAAACTTTGACATTTTCATGTTGTTATGTCCTCGAATGATATGTTGACCAGGCACGGCCAAGTAACCATATAAGCTGTCCAGGCACAGCCAAGTTTGGTTGAATAGTAGGGTTATAAAATTTAGGAGAAGCAGCATATGGAAAAATGAGATTCCTCTTAAGAGACCTCTATACACTGCACACTAAAGAGTTCTGACTTTGTGGAATTTTTATCCAGATAGACTAATCTGCCCTTTGATCTAGATAAAATAAATTGAAATGTACTGTTTATTACTTAATTTGTGATCAAATCAAGCATTCATAACATTTTAATAGGTCAAGATGAATAGATTGAACACTTCATTTGCAGGTATTTTGCCCACTTAAGTAAACAAGCATTCTGAGAGTATTGCATTAGCAATACTAGTCCCCTACCGGCAAGTGTAATCTGGTTCCCGTTAAGAATTGAAAATGCCATAATTCCGTCAAAAATTAATGAAGCGGGACGAAATGCAAACTTGATCTATAACTAATCAAGGTAAAGCCACATACCAAAAATCAGCTCAATATCTACAAGCGTTTAGAAGAAAATTGGGGAAAACCCGTAAAAATTGAAAAGGCCATAATTCCGTCAAAAATCAATGAAGCGGAACGAAATGCAAACTTGATCTGTAACTCATCAAGATACACTCACATACCAAAAACCAGCTCAATATCTGCAAGCGTTTAGGAAAAAAGTGCGGAAAACCAAGTGGGACAGACTGACAGACAGACAGAGGGACAGACAGACGGACAGACTCAGAGGAAACCTATAGTCCCCTCCGGTTTCACCGGTAGGGGACTAATAACAGCGACTTCTGTTCATTAGTACTTCATTGTCTTTGAACATTTTTCTTGGGCGTAAATGCAAGGTGCCCTATGTTGAAAATGTATTAGATAAACTCAGTATTTACACCTTTACACACTATAATTTTCTCAATCTCCAAAAAATCTTTTCCTTTGGTGTATAGAGGGTCCTTAATGAACCTTATTATTACTTTTCTATTCTTAAAAAACGAATCCCTACGTCGAGGTTCAAGTGGTCAGCTATTTTTTTGACCTGTCATAAACAAAAAGTGAGTAGAATCATTTAAATGCTAATTCAAATTTTATTGCGCTTAGTCAACCTATCATGTGAGAAATAATACATTTCGATCTTTTGAAAAACTCATTGAATGCATTTCTTAATAAACCAAAAAATTCTATCCTCAGTAGTTTTTTTTTGTTGATGTTCAAAAAAGATTAAAATTTCGGTCATGGACATGTCCTATATATTAAGAGGATTTTGAAAATCGCATTTCTTATTCGTAAAGGATATTATAAACTGCATGGTGAGAAATGAAGACTTTATTTAAATGTGCACATGTTTTTACAGTGTTCTGCAAACTATGGATTGTTATTAGTCCTCTACCGGTGAAACCGGAGGGGACTGTAGGTTTCCTCTGCGTCTGTCCGTATGTCTGTCTGTCTAGCTGTCTGTCAGTCTGTCCCTCTTGGTTTTCCGCACTTTTTTCCTAAACGCTTGCAGATATTGAGCTGATTTTTGGTATGTGAGTGTATCTTGATGAGTTACAGATCAAGTTTGCATTTCTTTTCACTTATTGATTTTTGACGGAATTAGGACCTTTTCAATTTTTAAGGGGTTTCCGCAATTTTTTTTCTAAACGCTTGTAGATATTGAGCTGATTTTTGGTATGTGACTTTACCTTGATTAGTTATAGATTAAGTTTGCATTTCGTTCCGCTTCAGTGATTTTTGACGGAATTATGGCATTTTCAATTTTTAACGGGAACCAGATCACACTTGCCGGTAGTGGATTAGTATTGCTAATGCAATACTCTCAGAATGCTAGTTTGTCCCCTACCGGTGAAACCGGAGGGGACTATAGGTTTCCTTTGAGTCTGTCCGTCCGTCTGTCTGTCCCTCTGTCTGTCTGTCAGTCTGTCTGTCCCACTTGGTTTTCGGCACCTTTTTCCTAAACGCTTGCAGATCTTGAGCTGAATTTTGGTATGTGAATGAATCTTGATGAGTTAAGATCAAGTTTGCATTTCGTTCCGCTTCGATGATTTTTGACGGAATTAGGACCTTTTCAATTTTTCAGGGTTTTCCGCAATTTTTTTCTAAATGCTTGCAGAATGATATTGAGCTGATTTTTGGGATGTGACTTTACCATGATGACTTACAAATCAAGTTTGCATTTCGTTTCACTTCACTGATTTTTGACGGATTAATGCATTTTCAATTTTTAACGGGAACCAGATTACACTTGCCGGTAGAGAACTAGTATTGCTAATGCAATACTCTCAGAGTGCTTGTTTTGCTTTATTTTGATTGTACCTAAGAAATATTTGATAATATAGTTAAACCTGAAAATAATATCCATCAGTTAATCTGTTAAAGATAATCGACAGGTGTTAACCTGAACAGTTTCATTCCTTCTGCTTTGATGGGCATGAATGATGCATTTGAGAACGACCCAAGACTTTTTCGTTCAAAAGCACTGGTTATATCTTTGTATCCATGAACAGGGCCGTTGGAAGAAATTTTAGAAATTTTCAGTTTAGGGTGGACACTATCTAGGAAAAATTCCTTATCGAGCATTGAAAAATTATCAGAAGTTAATATTTACATGATTTAGGGGCACAAGCATCAAATCAAAATAACATGAATTCTCTGGAAACAGAAAAAATACGTTAAAATACGGCGTTGTAGGTTAGAACTTCCAGTGTTAAATTTTATTGTAGTCAATTACATGTACATGTATTATGTAGAACAGCAAAGAAGAATAATTAAAAAAAAATCGTGTTTTTTTCTGCAAAATTGGCGGTGTATTAAAATACTCGTAGGCGATGTGTTTTCTTTAAAAATCAACCTGTAATATAATCAAATCTTTGTCCGCGACTTTCAGCAAGAAAATACATTAAAGTGATATTTTGCGTATTCCAGACCGTGTGATTTGAAGTCACATGTGCTTTCGTTTTTTTCTTTTAAAAAAAAAGTATGCTGTAAACGCGCACCATTTGGCACAGACCCGTAGGAAGCAATTTCAGTGGGGGGGGGGGGGGGGCACAGCCATACATTTTCAGTTGAGGGGGCACTATCAACTACCAAAAATTTCTTGACAAGCAAAAAGAAAAAAAAAAAATTGAGGGTGCACAAGGACATAGTATCTATGTTCTCTATAGTAATCTATATATCGGCAAAATTATGGGGGGGGGGGGCACAGCCCCCCCCGTGCCCCCCCTCCCCCGGTTCCTACGGCCATGAAACTCTCATATCTTATGATATCTTAAAGTCATATATGGCGTATATTTTAAGTTCAGACGAACTAAAATTAAAAAGATCTTTCTATTTGTTTTATTACTTTATATAAAGATGGGACTTTCCTTTAAATACACAGTTTAAATCAATCACGTTTCAAAGATATTTGAAAGGATGACTGCACTTAACGCCTGTTTTGGGGTCTTTTTCGGTTACTTCTCTTGCTTTTATATCTAAACCTTATCTCACTTTTGTGTGTTTATGAAAGAATACTGTCAATTTGGAACCACATTTAAATCTTAAAATGATTTTAGACTGTGATACAATAAAATGATTCAATGTTTTTTGTCCTTACTGCTTTCCAAATATAGTGAATTTACACTTACCTGCCCTTGATTGAACATTAGCTATGCATGAGAGGTGGAGCTAACATTGTAAGAATGGGTCTAAAATTAGACTTGATAAATAACAATGACATGTTTGAAAAAAAAGAACGTGATCACTCTTTCCAGTCTCCCTCTCCATTCTGTATGGCACAAATACACTTCTGACAAAGGTTTCAAAACGAAATTAACAATATGAGCACGTCAATGTAATTAAAGCAGATTTTATATCAATGCCAGATGACTTAACGTGTTCGAACACAGTGTCCTAGTTAACACAAAACATGCTACCTTTACAAGTCACGTGACGGAATTTAGTATTCACAAAGTTACCTGAAGTAAGAAATCACGTGGTGAATTATAATATTCAACATGTCACAATCCTTGGTTACAACACAGAGAGCGAATGTAAGAAGAAGCAGTTTTTTCTCTTTTTAATCATGAGCGCATGTTTGTCTATTAATCTCCTTTTAACACATTATTATTTATGCAAATATACAACTACTGTTAAACGTAGAACAATAGACAAACATGCGCTGACTATGTATAAAGTCAGTAAAAAAGTGGGCGTCCTCATTATCAAACGGAGATTCAAGAAATTGTGATGATCCCTGCCTTTGAAAACAGATTTGAACTTCGTAAATACACACTTTTATTAAACGTAACTACATAAAGTTGTAGATTGGATGTTGACCATTCTTGCAATGAAAAGAAAAATGCTTGTTTTGAAAGTTTACTTTGTCGCAAATTCCGCATGTCCTTAAGTGCAGTCATCCTTTAAAACAATAACCGATTTATTAACCGACTCCTCATTTAATTAACAGACAGTTTAAACTAAGTCTAACTATGGAAACATGAGGTTATTCAAGTTCAAAATGGGTGAAAATTTTAATTTGAATGTAAATAACATATATCATGATTATCTACACTCAATCTCGTATTTTTATTTTTTAGCTCAGATACGCCATATATTGCTTTAAGATCTATCTTAATGCTATTCTTCTCTTCTTAAGACAACTAGATACCTGTCTTAAGTCTAAAGTGAACATGGCGACAGCATAGCTTTTCGGTAAAAAACGATGGATTTTAAAAGAGAACGGTTTTTAGAGATAGAACAATACTTTCAATACTTTGGACTATATCAAGCCAGTCGGAACAATGACCCCCCCCCCCCCACTCCACCTAATAATTTTGCCAATAATTATATAATTATATGATAGAAAACATAAAATGTAGCTACGTTATGGTTGCGCCCCATAATTCTTTCAAGGCATTTTTTGCTTGGTTGTGTCTCCTTCCGACTGAAATCCCCCCCCCCCAAAATTGCTTTTTACATCCATGTACATGCAAATGTACAATAGAAAATATTTAAACACTTTATGTGCAAAATACAACAAATGTGCAGCAGGTGCTAATATTCGTACAATTATAGAAAAGTTCACACGGCTCCAGTTCAATAAATAAATAGAATTAAGGGCCAGACGATATTTTGCTATTCTGCCAAAATTATACAAAGAGGATAATGTTTCCAAATCACCTGCAAATACCAATGTTAATTTGTGTATTTAAAACAAATTGTTTGGTCCTAATTTTTATACTGAATTATTATCGGATTACTCCTCTTCATAGGTGTCACCGTATCTATGAAAATCATCATTTCGAAAAACTAGGAGTTCGTTATAATGACCATGTTTGCAGATGCATGTTCAACCTAGCTGTCGTTCGATCGATGGTCACTGAGAATCTCGGCCCAAGTATACTATACGTTTAAGTAGTTCCGGGGAACATGGCGCATTTATTTAAAAAATCTGACGTTAATTTGTATTCATTTTTAAATTATTTGAATAATAATTTGTATTAACTAAAACAATAAATTAAATCAATGTGAAAGAAATAAGCAGTAACTGTTATTGAAAGTTTAAAATACAGGTCGAGGGAATTGCAGGCAAGCTAATGAATTTGTGTCCAGTAGACAGGTCAGTAGGTCGACAGGTCAGTAGGTCGACAGGTCAGCAGGTCGACAGGTCAGCAGGTTAGCAAATAAACGTGTACAGGTTGACAGATCGACAGATAAGCAAGTTAGCAAATGAGCATGTGTACAGGTCGACAGGTAAGCAGGTTAGTAAATAAACGTGTACAGGCCAACAAGTCAGCGGGTCAACAGGTAAACATGTCGACAAGTCAGCAGGTCGAAAGGTAAGCAGGTCGACAGGTCAGCAAGTCGACAGGTAAGCAGGTTATTGAATAAATGTGCACAGGTCAACAAGTCAGCGGGTCGACAGGTCAGCAGGTCGACAGGTCAGCAAGTCGACAGGTTAGCAGCTCGACAGGTCAGCAGGTCTACAGGTAAGCATATTAGCTAATAAACGTGTGTACAGGTCGACAGGTAAGCAGGTCAATGTAATTTTATTAGATTTAAAAGTGTACAGGTAGACACGGGAATAGCCAGCAAGTATGCAAATGAAATCGTGGTATTTTGGTAAAAATATATTTAAACTTTCAGTTGTATATTAATATATCAACTTAAATTAATTTGATTTATGACATGCGATATCCTTAAATCTAAATAACTTTGAAACCATAGTAAGAATTTAAATAACGAAATTTAACAAGTTTGAACGGGTCAAGTGTAATTGAATAACTGTGGTGAACATCTATACATACATGTATCGACCTGCTGACCTGTCGACCTGCTGACCTGTCTACCTGTTGTCCTGTTTCCCCATATTTATCGTTAATTCAAAATTTAATGAATATGTATATTATGTAAATGTTATGAATAAATATGTAACTACAATAAATATTCATTACTTTAATAGGGTAGATACGAGGACTATTTACTCATTTTGTTAAAACTGAAAATCCGCAGGAACTACAATACCGTATACTGCACTTGACCTATTTTTTTTTAAAGCAAGTTAAAAGACAAATGAACAAAGAATCATATCATCAATATGTGTGAAAAGAGTCAAAACACGGAATATATATATAGTGTAAACTGCATGAGGATTATAAATTTAATGAAACTATCCTTGAAGAGTTTTCTTTAAATCTTACACAGGTAAAAGTAAAGCTATTTTGAAAAGTACATTGGAGTATTTTCCGTTTATGGGCATTTCAGCAAAAGATAACGCATACGTACTACTCTTATTAACCTACTGAAAATGGAAAGTATTGGGGAAGCAATCAAAATTTTATTTGTTTAGATTTTTGTATTTTGTTAGCCTCTCGTTGATTTTTTTTTCATTTTTTTTTTAACATTTTTTTTTACCTAACAACCGTGTTAAAAAGGGGGCATCTTGCTGTCACAGTAGATTGGTCCTTTTTGAATTTAGTGTCGGAAGCATCTGTACATTCTTCTGTTGTTTTGAGGCCCAAACAGTCTTTGTCACTAAAAAAAAATTGTTGGGATCTTTGCAAGTCTATTAAACTTTCCTGTTCCTATTTCCTAAAGTCGTTGAATTGGTCCTATATGATACTTCTCAAGGTATTGACTAATTATAAATCTAAAAGAAGTTTTTATTTCCAGTTTATGGCATGTTTTAAGATATGATTTAGAGATTCCGAATTGCTAATAATATTTGTCCTTGGAATTTCAACAAATCTTGTACACACTTAATGGTTTGTAAACTTTTTCTTTCATTTTTTGTTTGTTTGTTTGCTTTTTAATTATTTCAGAAATGTTCCTTCCAACTCTCTAGATACCAGCTATTTTTCCATTTGATTTGGCGTCGAAGCTAATGCAATCGTCAACCTCGCTCTCTTATTCTTAACGTTTTGTCTTCATGTACAAATGCATGACTTACACTATCATTCTCAAACACATTTTCATTTGAAGATGCTTCAATATGTCATCCTCGCACTCTTCTTTCACTAGCACTACACCTGTCTCATTCATGAACATATGACTGATCTACAATGCCGGTGTTAAACACTTCAAACATCTACAGCAATAACTCCTTACTTGATCAAAATATCAATAAAAGAAGTAAAGGAAAAGAAACCAAAATAATGTGAACTGCATCTATCCAGAAGTAATGTAAGCAAAAAGAAAAATGGTCAAAGCTGTGTTACCTAAGAGAAAAATCCAGAAACAAAGAAAGTCAATAGCAGAAGTGACATCGTTCCAGTCAATATCAGAGTCATCCGAAACGACTTCATCTTTATTGTCGTCGCTACAATCCATTGGTTTAACGTCTGTGGTGTTTGAAGAGCGACATGATTTTTTGCATCTCAAGAACTGTTCAAATTTTACGATATAAATAAAGAACTTGGCTATACCAACGCTGCTTTTTCTGTGATGTAGTCGAAGTTGTACTGCGGTGATGACAAGAATGAAAGCTCCAATCACCATTTGAAGAATGAGATAAAAACTCAGAAAAGACGTACTTTCAGAATTGACTGGTAATTCCGCGCTGATCATGGTCAGAAAGACTGCAAAGGATAACAACACTGTCACAGAGTAGCCCATCTTTTCTCCTGCATCAGCTGGGATGATAAAAACCAAAAGGCTTAAAATTCCAAGACATATAACAGGGATAATCATATTCATGACGTAATACTGAGGTTTTCGTTTCAAATTAAGGATAAAAGTAATCTGTGATTCGGTTCCATAGTTGCTTATAACATTACTCGTAGACTCCACTGTCCATACACTGTTTTCTTCGTATTCATAAAAAACTAATCCCCCTGAAGATTTTGTGATGCTTACTTCAACGGAAACATAACTCCAAACAATGAAAATGATATTACATGTTTGCTTGTCGTAAGGAAATCGAGTAATGTCAATGCTGCATCTGGTTTCGAACACCTCGTACGGCCTCCACTGCACCAGTCCATCGTTACCTACATGAACGTAGTAAAAATCTCCACCCATCTCTTTAAACTTCGTGAAGCCATTCTTCAGTACCAGGTCTGGTTTCCATATGTCATTCTAAATTAAGAGGAAAATTATCACTTTGAAATTCATATGGAAGTTCTGTTGAAAAGAAATTCCGAAAGCAGGTTTCAAAGGAGTATTTAAAGTATTAAATTGTTTTTAATATTTAAAAAATAAAATGTTTCTAATACCGAACACTCTTTCAAAAACAAAGAAAAATGTACCTGCATTAAAAATATGTAATTAATATTGTTGTTGGTTGCAGAGCTCCATGTCAAACCTTCATCAGTCCAAACAGCATAGATAAAACCCGTTGTAACAAGTTTTTCTGCCACCTCATCAACTGAATTGACTCCACAGAGGTTAAAACTTAAATCAAGCTTAAGGGTTTGACTCTGGTCACCTACAGGGCGCACTCTTTTGTCGTAGTTAGTTAACAGGTCTTTAGTCAGTTGCCTCACGTTCGCAGCAGAGGTACATAAAACATTTCGAATAAAACACAGAGAAATACCAGTTAGTAACACCATCAACCTGATGTTCATCTCCATTTTTTTAAATTAATATTTTAAATCACTACCAAAAAGCGCGCCATTTGACATACAAATGTATGTATAAATGTAACTGAATCCAGTATAAAAAATATTGAGGGTTTTCTTTCAACTTATATGTTCTTATATTGTGAATATAATTCCTTTTTAGCCACAGTTAAATATTTGGGCGGAAACAGATTATATATGTTCATAGGTCACAGTGACTGATTTTATTAATCTGATTTAATCAGATTCTAATCCACTACATTTGTTATTAGTATTTATAACATTAAAGTATAAACTTATTAGAAAAACTTATTTACTGATCTGTTGAAATTCAAAAATTTAATTTAAATCCGCGGTCGGATTGGTTTTGGGGTATGAAAATTAAACACACACGCACACACACACACAGCCTTACAAAAATTCGTATCTCTTTTAACTCTATTGGGATTGACATATATCATTCTTATTTTAATAAATATTCTTTTTTTTTAATTTAAATTTTTGGGCCAGATATTGAGATTTGTATCGTTATTTTTGTCATTATTTAAAGAAAATTCTCGAATGATCGTCATAAACTTTATCATTATTGTTTTTTTCTTCAGTTGATCTGTGTTTTTCCTTGATACTGATAGAAAGATAGATTTTTGATGTTTGGGTAGACGCTGAACAAAAAATTTGGAATGGCCTAATTATAATGGGTTAAACATTTAGAACGCTCTTTGTGCCAAGTTCGACAAATCGGCAACAGATGCTAATATTTGTTAAACTACATAGAAATTTTAAGAATAAAACTGCTTAAAGTTAATGTTTGGCTTTTTAATTTAGTCAGTCGTGTTAAGCCACTTGTCTAGATGCGAAATTGGAATAAAACAAACCATACTAAGAACTTTTATGTTTTATTGTTTCATGTATTTATTTTGTTTTATTATCGGCCGCAGGTTTGTGCGCGCATATAAGGAGGAAATGAAACATTATTTTTTATTGCTTTAATAGAATAATTCCTTCATGATAACATACATATTTTTTTTTTAATAAAATACCGTGGAATCACTAATTTTCGAGGGGGTAATCTTTGTTGTCTGAACAGACCCATGAATTCATATCCCCCACGAAATGTTAAAATTTCGTACTATAGTAAAGTGGTTCTCCTTTAACCACGAATTCAAATCCCTCGAACCAGTAATTTTTCCTTAAACCACGGAAATTTGACAACTCGAAAATATGATTTTACAGTATTCTAAATATTTCTTCATACTAAGTCTTGATTGTTATCCCCTCGCAACGGAGTTGCGGAGGGGATATACTAACGCGCTATGTGTGTGTGTTAGTTAGCGGGTGGGTTAGTTTTTCCTTGTGCGAAACGGAAGTAACCGAAGTGACGTAATTTGCACCGGGATCGAATGTTGCCTTGATATATGTATATTTCTAATTTATTCATCCATTGTCTGATCTTCTCATATTCCAATCAAATAAATAAAACTGAACGAGGGGGATAATAAAATATACAGTATTTATTTGCTTTTCCAAGTGTAAATTATACATGTAATTGAATTGTGTGCAATCACAACCTACGGCATGACAAATAATAAAACGTAAGGGGTAATTTTAATAACAATGCGATTGCCCTTTGGATATGTATAAGTTTAAATCAAAATATACATGCTGTGCAAATGAGGCGAATGGAAAAATTACGGTTCGATGTCGTTGAATATTGGTCTGCATATGATTTTAATAGAAATGTGATAAAACAGCTAGACCCCCATCCTAAAAGCCAGTATCGTTCGGCATTATTTTATACTTTAATGTAATATAATATACCAAACTCTGTTCCTAAGGCATTGTTTAATACCCCTGATATAAAAAGTTAACAAACTTCGAAATTTTATTTTTCGCAAAACACCGGGACCCAACTCTCATAGCTTAAGTGTACCTTTGTGAACACTTCAGTTTCCAGTTCCAGATAAGATGCATATTTTTTTACTTTAACTCATAGGCCAAATACATGAAGCTCCATGCAATAAAAGAAATGCAAGATGTTTGCTTATCATGCTTATTCACATTCTTATGATTTATCCCTCTGTCGGCGTAACTAGCAATTTTTGTTACTTAAATGTACGTGTATACCTATAAATATTTTAAACCTCCAATATCTTTCGGACAATACTAAATACTGTTCCTTTAATTACCAAAAGATCTAGATAGTTTTAATCCGAACTAACAAACTGGAGGCATTAAAAAAATATATACCTTCGGAACGATCTAAATGTGTCTCGGGACAAGTCCTCACCACAATAAGGGTCCATGGGACAATATCATTTTTTACAATACAATATTTATTGGCGCAAACACAATTGCAATAATTGGCAAAGGCACAACATACAAGAATCATCAACTGTTCATATTGTCATATTGTAATTTTTGAATTTACCGGGTGGTAGTAAATACAACAAGAGGCCCATGGGCCACATCGCTCACCTGAGCACACTGGCTAGACTAAGGCACAAATCAGTTCAGTAATGAACGGCAGGGGGGGGGGCTTGAATTTTAAACTTTGTAAAACTTTCGATCCCCCATTGGGCCCCCCTACCCCCCCCCGGGGGGTCATCATTTGAACAAAATTGAATCTACACTACCTGAGGATGCTTCCATATAAATTTGACTCATCTTGGCTTTGCTGTTCTTGAGAAGAAGATTTTTCCTATATATTTCTATGTAAAACTTTGATCCTCCATTGTGGCCCCGCCCTACCCCCGGGAGCCATGATTTGAACAAAATTGAATCTACACTTCCTGAGGATGCTTCCATATAAATATGACTCTTCATGGCTTTACTGTTCTTGAAAAGAAGATTTTTAAAGATTTTTCCTATATATTTCTAAGTAAAATTTGGATCCTCCATTGTGGCCCCGCCCTACCCCGGGGGTCATCATTTGAACAAACTTGAATCTACACTACCTGAGGATGCTTCCATATAAATATGACTCTTCATGGCTTTACTGTTCTTGAGAAGAAGATTTTTCCTATATATTTCTATGTAAAACTTTGATCCTCCATTGTGGCCCCGCCCTACCCCCGGGAGCCATGATTTGAACAAAATTGAATCTACACTTCCTGAGGATGCTTCCATATAAATATGACTCTTCATGGCTTTGCTGTTCTTGAGAAGAAGATTTTAAAAGATTTTTCCTATATATTTCTAAGTAAAATTTGGATCCTCCATTGTGGCCCCGCCCTACCCCCGGGGGTCATGATTTGAACAAACTTGAATCTACACTTCCTGAGGATGCTTCCATATAAATGTGGCTCTTCATCGCTTTACTGTTCTTGAAAAGAAGATTTTTAAAGATTTTTCCTATATATTTCTATGTAAAACTTTGATCCTCCATTGTGGCCCCGCCCTACCCCCGGGGGTCATGATTTGAACAAACTTGAATCTACACTACCTGGGGATGCTTCCATATGAGTTTCATCTTTCCTGGCCCTGTGGTTCTTGAGAAGAAGATTTTTTAAAGATGCTATTCATTTTTCACTAATTCTTAATTATCTCCCCTTGAAAGAGGGCGTGGCCCTTCATTTGAACAAATTTGAATCCCCTTCACCCAAGGATGCTTTGTGGCAAGTTTGGTTGAAATTGGCCCAGTGGTTCTGGAGAAGAAGTCGAAAATGTGAAAAGTTTACAGACAGACGGACAGACGGACTACAGACAAAATGTGATCAGAAAAGCTCACTTGAGCTTTCAGCTCAGGTGAGCTAAAAATTACAATATTGTAATTTTTGTATTTACTACCACCCGGTAAATTCAAAAATTACAATATGACAATACATTTAAACAATATTCTAATATGAAGATATGCATAAATCATACAATCATTTGTACAATAATTATGTAATACAATCATTTCTAGATATATGACATTTTTTAATAAATGAGTGTGTTATTTTCAGTATTTCAGGGCATTGGCTATTAAAGCAGAGCAGAACTCATTTAGTATAAGACATATTTGATATTTTCCCTTGAAAAAAAAATCAACAAATTCCTTTCAAAAGTTTACCTATGATTATTGTATTTTTGGCCGTTGAATAGAAAATGAATTTCATCTTCAATCTCTCCTGTGTTGCAAATATTACAAAATCTTTTATCTGTGGGTATAGACAAATGTCTCCCTTTTTCTATGACAAGATAATGTGCACTAAGTTTCAACCTGTTAATAATTGATCTTTCTGTTCTCTTTTTTAATATATCAGTGTATCCACAGCGTTTAAAATGATCAAAAACAATTTGGTAAAATTTTAGTTTTGGTGAATTATGAATCTTTGCATATTCCTCTTGTAAGCATTGATCTGATATTCTTTGATTTATGCTTCTTATAAGTGGTTTTATTGAATTTTCTTTTTAAGTAATGAATGAAAATCCTAACTTGTTGAAAATTGAAAAAAAATATTTTTAGTCCAAGAGTTTGTTTCAACTGTTGCTTTATAGATTTTAAATGCTAAAGTATTCTTGGAAGTAATAAGATGGCTCCAAAATTTTATATATAAAAAATGTATTTTTGTCCACAGAGGATGTCTACCTAAATCTGCTCTGCAGGGAGCATTAGTAGTTTTACAATGTACTCCTAAAATTTCCTTAATAAATTTCATGTGAAATTATTATCATAAATACCCCAGATCTCACAGCAATAAAGAAGAACTGGTGTTACAATAGAGTCAAAAAGTTTTTCCAAAAGTTTACATGGGTTATCCAAACCAAGGGTTTTCTTAATCTTAAAATAAGCTTTCTTGGCCTTTTCCATAAGTACTGACATAGCTAAATTCAGATTTCCATTACATTTTAAAGTTAATCCAAGATAACAAAACTTTAATACTGTTTGAAGGACACTTCCATTATATGTAAACTCATTGATACAAAGTTTACATTTGAGTTAAAAATAAGGACTTTAGACTTCTCAACATTAATCTGTAGTTTCCAATTAGAACAATATGTTTCGAGAATGTTCAAACAATTCTGTAACCCAGTCTTACTTTCAGATAATAAAACAATATTATCAGCATATAATAAACAATTTACAGAGATTTCACCAATTTGAACAGGATCACAATTGCCTGTTTAAGTTCATCAACAATACTATTAATTAATAAAAATGTTGAAGAGAGATGGGCTTAAGATAACGCCTTGCTTAACACCACATTCAGATGAGAATGCTTTACTGAGACCATTAGCAAACTTTATCTTGGTTTTTGTATTCTCATACATAGAAAATATAATATTGAACTTTTTGGTGTGTATATTGGATTTCAGAAGTTTATAATAAAGTCCAACCCTCCATATAGTATCAAATGCTTTACGGAGATCGATGAAAGCTGCATAAACTTTTTGCTTTTTGTTTTTATAATTCTCCGATATAGACTTCATTGTAAAAATATGATCTGATGTTCTGCTTTTTTCTTTGAAACCAATTTGATTTTCACTAATTAGTGATGTATCCTTGATAAAATCTAGCAATCTGAAATGAATAATCCTATTAAAAAGTTTCCCTAAGTTTGATGTGATGGAAATACCTCTGTAATTACAAGGATCAAGTTTGTTACCAGATTTATGTAAGAGTACCAGAATACTTTCATTCCATAGAGTAGGAAATTGCCCTAATTTTAAAATAAAGTTGAACATTTTTTGTAGTGGCTTCAGTAATATACTACCTCCATTTTTTAACATTTCATTTGAAATAAAATCCATGGATGTACTTTTACCTTGTTTTAGATTTTTTATGGCATTCATTATTTCTTGAGTTGTAATTGGGGGGGGGGGGGGGGGGAATAACACCATTCTCTAGTTTCTGTTTTAAAACATTAAACTGTTCTGCAATGAATTTGTGGAAATCATTCAGATTGCGCTTTTCAGTATTCAGTGTTTTGAAATACTGATAAAATGTTTTACAGGGAAGATCAGGAGAAGTGTTATACATATTTTGCATTTTATCTAGTTTGTGCAACATTTTCCAAAATGTTTTGGGATTGGTATCAAGATTGTTGTTAATTTCATGACATTTTTTTGTTGTTTGTATGATTTTTATGCCCCCGGATCGAAAGATCCCGGGGGTATATTGTTTTTGTCCTGTCTGTCTGTTTGTCTGCTTATCTGTTTATCTGTTTGTCTGTTTGTCTGTTTGTCCGTTTGTCTGTTTGTCTGTCTGTCTGTTGTCAACTTTAACCTTGCCCATAACTTTTGATTGGTTGGAGCTATGACTTTCATATTTCACATGTGTATTCCTTGTGACAAGACCTTTCTTTGGGTACCATCATATTTGACCTTTTGACCTTGACCTTGGAGTTTGACCTACTTTTGCAAAATTTTATGAGACTTTAACCTTGGCCATAACTTTTGAACAGTTGGTGCTTAGGGTTTCAAACTTCACATGTGTATTCCTTGTGACAAGACCTTCCTCTGGATATCAACCACTTTGACCCTTTGACTTTGACCTAGGAGTTTGACCTACTTTTGAAAAACATTAACCTTGGCCATAACTTTTGAATGGTTGGAGCTAGGGCTTTCATACTTCACATATGTAATCCTTGCGACAAGACCTTCCTTTGGATATCAACCACCACTTTGACCTTATGACCTTGACCTAGGAGTTTGACCTACTTTTGAAAAACTTTAACCTTGGCCATAACTTTTGAATGGTTGATGCTAGGGCTTTCATACTTCACATATGTAATCCTTGTGACAAGACCTTCCTTTGGGTACCAACCACTTTGACCCTTTGACCTTGACCTAGGAGTTTGACCTACTTTTGAAAAACTTTAAACTTGGCCATAACTTTTAAATGGTTGGTGCTAGGGCTTTCATACTTCACAAATGTAATCCTTGTGACAAGATCTTCCTTTGGACACCAACCACTTTGACCTTGACCTTGACATTTGACTTTTACTTAAAAAACTTTAACCTTCGCCATAACTTTTGAACAGTTGTATCTAGGTCTTTCAAATTTCACAGGTGTATTCCTCGAGACAAGACCTTTCTTTGGGTATCAACTTTTCTTATCTTTTGGCCTGGATTTTGAGTTGCATTTGAAGAAACTTTAACCTTCGCCATAAGCTGCCATACGGGGGCATCAGTGTTTCACAAGCACATCTTGTTTTTCATATTTACATAGCCTTCTGTATTTAGACCTGTATGTGTAAAAGAGTTTTCTATATTGACCATTAAAAGGATATTGATTTACTAACTTTTCATATTGTTGAACTTTGTTTCGAAGATCAGTGCATGACTCAGTAAACCATGCATGGTTTTTTATTGCATCTACGGGATTTGAATTTTGGCATTTTTGCCACATATTTTGTTAAGAGTTTTGCACAATCTTGCAATATAGTGTTAAATGAGTTCACAATTGTGTCACTATTTTCATAATCAGTATCAATAAAATCAGAAAATCTTGCTCTGAATGTTGGACTCTTGATATTTTTAGAATACACATCTACAGATTCTTTAGTCCAAATAAATTTTCCTGGTAAAGGGTCTAGTTTACATACGTTGTTAATTTCTTTTTCAGAAAAATCATTTACAAACAAAGAACAGCTCATTGGACAATGGTTTGAAGATAAATTAAATTCATGAACTTCAAAATATCCAACAGACTTGAGTAAATTTTGGGAGGAAAGTGTATAGGCAACAAGACTACTCCCATTATATGTGAAACAGGTGTGTTTACCAGTAAGATCACCAGTCGTTCTACCATTTAGGATTCTTAATCCAGATTCTTTACATATGTTAAGAAGAAGTTTGCCACTATTGTTAGTGTGTTTGAGGTCAAGATTATTTCTTGACAATGTAGTATCATATTGATAATTAAAGTCATCATCATTAACTCGATGAGAATCAGTGTCAAACAAAATGAAATCTGGTTGGGTGTTAGTGTATGCATTGAAGTCACCATGTAATCTGGTTGGGTGTTAGTATATGCATTGAAGTCACCTTGAAATCATTTTAATGATAGAACGTTCGATCTGTGTACATGTAAAGGCCTGTGATACAGATTTCATTTGTAAGACACCGCCCCTTAAAGTTTGTAATATGGAGGGAAAACACTTCTGATTGACACAAAGGGAAATTCCACTTGGAAATGTGAGAGTCTTCAGGAAAATTGTGTATCCAGTCCCGTAGAAGCCCATCCTTTTTTTCTGAGTATTGGTATTTTGTTATGGTAAATTGACGTTTAGATGCTGGTTGCCCCCCCCCCCCCCAACTTTTTGTTGTTGTTAGGTGGAGCACTGGCAAATTATAGGATTTGGACAGAAAATTAGGTGTGTTTTTGTTTGTTTGTTTGTTTGTTTTTTTTTTTTTTTGGCTTGTCAGATTTTTTGGGGGGAAGTTGCCCCCCCCCCTTTTGAAACCGTTGCTACGGGCCTGATACCTGCAGATTTGTAGCTCGATGCTCTGAAAAAAGGATGGACGGTCTGTCCGAGAATATATTTTGTTTGTTGTTTGTTTTGCTACAGCACGTTCAATATTGTGAAGTCCGGAAACAACATAGTTGATCTTAAATCTCTAATATTATTGCGCCATTCGTACTTCCTATTTTATTTTCTTGATTGCTTTTTGTACACAAACGATTGACGGCAGTGACAAAAACGATCGATGGCGAAAGAAGGGAGTTGTCTATTTCGAATAGGGTACTTTATATTTATTTCTAAGATTGAAATAACAAATAAATGGCGTAAACAATTATATTTGTCTAAGGTGTACAATACGCCCACTTTATCAGAAGCTAATCATGTAAGTTATAACAATGTTATTTTTTTTTTTGTTTTTTTTGTTTGTTGATTGTTTAAGATAAATGATACTGCAAGTAACAACTATTGTAGCATAAAGATGTCATTGATTTTTTTTTTTTTTGGAAAACTCTCCAAGTTTCTTGCTATGCAGTATATATAGCCACCACATTGCTATGCACACAAAGAAGATTGGGAGTTTCAGACCTTTTTTTATGTGGAGTTTTTGTGGACTTATCAAAATTTTCTTTAGAAAACAGCGTAAATTTGGATATTAATTTCCTCTGTTTATATGAGTCTATAAAGTTTTGTAAGTGAGATATATGAACAGGGACCACAAGGTGACTATTTGGCAGCTTTGGCTTTTGAGTAGTGACTCTCATTGAGGTCACTCACAGAACAGGTCTGGGCAGCATCCGTTTCTGGAGGATAGCTAAAGTCAATATTTTTACCATATATGGAAAATTGCATTGCATTGTGGGATAGCGTAATCCTCCGATTTCGGAGGATAACACAGGTAATTTTTAAATGCCCCTTGCCTACCTTTAATGGAAAAGTACATGCATCATAGTATATGCAAATAAAAGTTCAAACATTAAACTATTTATTATTTGTGGCGATTTGAGATTCCATGCCTAGATATTTTGCAATTTATTTTCAAAGTGAGCACTTTTTGCGCTCCCTATTTACTACATATTTCTTGTTCTTTTGTATTATTTTTTTGTGTTTTTTTTTCTATTAAGACAAATAGGTACATTAAACATTTCTTTTAATTTTTAAAGAGAAAAAAAAAAAGAACACAGGGAAATGTATTTAAATGCAAAATATACCTTGCCTTGTAAAATAAGCATACATGTAAAACAAGTACAGAATGAAAAGATCATAATAAATAAATAAATAAATAAAGGAATAAATAAATAAATAATTCAAATATCATAAATAAAAATATAGATAATTTAAGGTTTATAGAGATAAATTTACATTATGATAAATAAAATATTACAAATATGATGGACTTAGGGATAATTAAATGAATGAAATAATAAATAACTATATAAACTTGATTATTCAAAACAAAAATAATTGTTTAATCGAATTTTCTTAACTGTTAGCTTACTATCACATAATTACTGTACAAGAAAATCAGCTTGCTTATAATACACTTGCAAGGAGGTAAGAATAACTGTTGTAAACTACTTAGCTTAAATTAAACTGATAAATTAGTGATGGCAATTACAAAAATATTGTAATATTGATCCAATATCTAGATTTTCCCATCATTTATACATGTATATGCATGGAAGTAGATATATCTTTTATTTGTTTTGGTTAAGAAATCAGTGTACGGTTCATAAATGCAAGAGTTACTGTTTTTGTTTCCTGAAGAGTTCATTGCCCTTTGTTTTGAAAATGAAAAGAGGTGGTGATACTGCTATCCTCTGATATTAGAGGATAAAATCTATTAGAGGATAAAATCTATCCTCCAAAAATGGAGGCCGCCTACCTGAAGAAGCAAGCACACCACACTTCTCTGTTGAGCAAATCTATAGTTCTCTGGTCATCCATCCTAACTTTTTTTTTAGACCGGTGAGCTACAGATCTGCAGATAATTAATGCAAATAACTAATTAATTGTTCTGTATTAAAATCAACAGGTACTTCTTTTACTCAAGAACTCGAATTGGACAGATATACCACAGAAGGGACATAGCTAAGGCTCGTGAGAAGTATCCTGATGGAAAGACACATACTACCATTCAACCATTTCAATATGGAGGTCGGTAGTTTTATAATACATGTAATCACTTCTTGCAATCAAACATTACTCCTCTCAGAGCAGTGTTCCATTATCAACTACACAGTAGATTTACCATGTGATTTTTTTTTTGGTCTTGATCAAGTTGCACCTCTTTTTGTATACATTTGTTTTACTTGTATATTTTTAATGATAATTTTGTGCTTATTAATATGATGGAAGAATTCCTAAATGTTTACCACAATAAAAATTAGTCATCTTTGAATAATTTGATATGAAATTAAAAGTTGAATTTTGCTGAACAGGACTGTGTCTTTAATTTTTTTAAAGGATTATTCATTAGATGTGTTCGTTGGTTTTAATAACACAAAACAGGGAAGCAAGGAAATGTGGAATAAATTTGAATGGGGGGGGGGGGGGTATTCATAACTCTGGAGAAGTGGAAAGGGAAAATGGAAGTAAAATGTTCCAGGAAAACTTGTTGTGTATTTTTTAGCTCTACTGGTCAGAGACCAGAAGAGCTTATGCGATGGTAAGGTGTCTGTTGTCTGTCTGTCTGTCCGTCTGTAAACAATTTTTCAAAACGATACTCCTCCTACAGTTTTGGTCTGATTTCAATATAACTTGGCACACAAGTAAACTACACTAAGATACATAATTTAGTGCATCGGTTTTTGATTTGGATGGACAGTGTTGCCATGGTTACTAAAAATAGAAATTTCTTTGAAATTCCTTTAAAATGCTACTTATCCTACAGTTTTGGTCTGATTTCAATATAACTTGGCACCCAAGTAGATGACACTAAGATACATAACTTAGTGCATCGGTTTTTGATTTCGATGAACGGTGTAGCCATGGTTACTAAAAATTGAAATTTCTTTGAAATTCCCTTAAAACGCTACTCCTCCTACAGTTTTGGTCTGATTTTAATATAACGTGGCACACAAGTAGATGACACTAAGATACATAATTTAGTGCACCTTTTTTTATTTCGATGAACGGTGTTGCCATGGTTACTAAAAATAGAAATTTCTTTGAAATTCCTTTAAAACGCTACTCCTCCTACAGTTTTGGTCTGATTTTAATATAACTTGGCACACAAGTAAACTACACTAAGATACATAATTTAGTGCATCGGTTTTTGATTTCGATGGACGATGTTGCCATGGTTACTAAAAATAGAAGTTTCTTTGAAATTCCTTTACGCTACTCCTCCTACAGTTTTGGTCTGATTTTAATATAACTTGGCACACAAGTAGACTACACTAAGATACATAATTCAGTGCATCTTTTTTTTATTACGATGGACGTGTTGCCAGGGTTACTAAAAATAGAAATTTCTTTGAAATTCCTTTAAAATGCTACTTCTCCTACAGTTCTGGTCTGATTTCAATATAACTTGGCACACAAGTAGATGACGCTAAGATACATAATTTAGTGCATCGGTTTTTGATTTTGATGAACGGTGTTGCCATGGTTACTAAAAATAGAAATTTCTTTGAAATTCCCTTAAAACGCTACTCCTCCTAGAGTTTTGGTCTGATTTCAATATAACTTGGCACACAAGTGGACTTCATTTTGATACATAATTATTTGCATTTTTTTTTTATTTTGATGAACGGTGTTGCCATGGTTACTAAAAATAGAAATTTCTTTGAAATTCCTTTAAAATGCTACTCCTCCTACAGTTTTGGTCTTATTTTAATATAACTTGGCACACAAGTAGACTACACTAAGATACATAATTTAGTGCATCGGTTTTTGATTTCGATGAACGGTGTTGCCATGGTTACTAAAAATAGAAATTTCTTTAAAATTCCTTTAAAATGCTACTCCTCCTACAGTTTTGGTCTGATTTCAATATAACTTGGCACACAAGTAGACTACACTAAGATACATAATTTAGTGCATCGGTTTTTGATTTCTATGAACGGTGTTGCCATGGTTACTAAAAATAGAAATTTCTGTGAAATTCCTTAAAAATACTTCTCCTCCTACAGTTCTGGTCTGATTTTAATATAACTTGGCAAACAAACAGACTATACTAAGATACATTATTTGTTGCATCGGTTTTTGATTTCTATGAACGGTGTTGCCATGGTTACTAAAAATAGAAATTTCCGTGAAATTCCTAAAAAATACTTCTCCTCCTACAGTTTTGGTCTGATTTTAAAGAACTTGGCAAACAAACAGACTATACTAAGATACATTATTTGTTGCATCGGTTTTTGATTTCTATGAATGGTGTTGCCATGGTTACTAAAAATAGAAATTTCTGTGAAATTCCTTTAAAATGTTACTCCTCCTACAGTTTTGGTCTGAGTTCAATCTAATTTGGCACACAATTAGAATACACTACGATACATAATATGTATTTCAGTTTTCAGTGAATGATGTTGTCATGGTTACTAAAAATAGAAATTTCTGTGAAATACTTTCAAAACACTACTCCTCCTACAGTTTTCGTTTGATTTCAATATAACTTGGCACAGAAGAAGACTACATTAAGATACACAATTCTATTTATTGTTGCATGTTGCAAAGTTTCAAATCCAAGTGCTACTTTGTTATACGTACAGACCAGTAGAGCTACAGTCTCATCAGAGACTTCTGGGTTTTTTTTAATTTACATAGTTTTAATTTTAACTTCACAGATTTGACAATAACCCCTTTCCCCATATTATTGGACAACTATTCATACATCCTCAGGGACTCAAAATCAGCTGTTATTGTGGACCCTGGGGACCCAGAGCCAGTTATTGTAAGCTTCTTTAAATGTGTATCAAGTCTAAGTACACCAGTTACTAGTATTAAACTGCAGACATTCTACAAAGCATGCAAAACAAAGAAGAAGGTGCGGTTTTAGCTTTATTCTGCCCTAAAAATCTAATGTTTTCAAACAGTTTTGAAACTGGCTTAAATATTAGTTGAGTATATGACTGTGATAAATCAGGAAAGAATATGGCATGAAGGAGTACCATTCTGGAAATATGACGTCATCAATTTGATTCATTTCTATATTTTAAACAGAAAATGCCTCAAAATGACTCATTTCAAGGGTTATTTTCCTTAAGAAAATAGTGTCCGCAGTTGTCACCCACTTTAATTTTTGGATATGTTGTGAAAAATTCTTTGAAAAATCACATATCTGAAAATCTTTGTGGGCGATGGCTTTGGACAGTATTATCTGAATGAAAATTCCATTGAAAATTGCTGTCTTCTGCAACTTTTTAAGAAAATACGGGAAATTGCACAAGTTTATGACGTCACAATTAGCATTTAGAAGGTCATGAGAGAAAAATGATTTGTATGATCTTTCTGCATGGAATTTCAATGATTCAGAAAGCATGAGTTTTAATTTTTCACATCACTTTCATTTTTAAGAAAAACACAGGGCAAGAATTGTATTGAAACCATACCTTGTTCTTTAGTAAAAAAGAAAAAAATCCAAAATGATTATGTACCTGAGACTGTTTTACTAAAACACATTCATGTTCTGCAAAGTGTATTTTGGTTTACTTCTTTCACATACTTACTGAAAGAAATCACCCTGTGGGACTTTTTACTACATGTATTTTCATATGTACATGTAAGCAAAATCATTGGCTCTTTTCCTGTCACATGATTTGATTATAATAGTAAGGAAGCAGGATTACACATCATTGTTTCTACATGTGTACATTTATACTTTAAAATTTTTATTAATTTATCATCTGTTTCTTAAAATAAATTCCAAAATACATGAATAGATCTTTTATAAAATGGATATTTCAAAGAATGTAGCCTCCTAATTTGAGAAGAAATGAAAATTTTATGATGGACATACAAAAAAAACTTTTTAAAGTTAACATATTTGATTGTGTACAGAAATACTTGAAAGACAATGGAATATCCCCTGAAGCTGTACTGGTCACTCACAAACACTGGTGAGTATCTCAACAGCTAGGACGCATCTTTGAAAACCAATTGTATTGTGCAGTGGGGTATCAAAAATGTTTGCCCAATTATGATAATTTCAGTGAAAAGGATCAAAACTTGACAAACTTAAGTTGTAAAGTTTGCACAAACTTGACATTGTGTGTATACCTATAAGTAATGACAATCAGAATTCAAGGAGAGGTCCTGTTTTTGGTTGTTAGTTGAAAATTGTCATAAAATTCACTAGAGATTTTTTTTATTGCATCAGGAATATAATTATGCTAAAATCTGTAAATAATTAGTTATTCACCTGATCTCATGATGTTGCAATAATTTTATAGGAATTTAACTTTTTATGTTTTGTTTTTTCTTTAACTGTTTTAAAGGGATCATAGTGGTGGGAACACTGCTATGAAGCAGGCATACCCAAACATCAGGATATATGGTGGAGTCCATGACAATGTTAACAATGTTACAGAGTATGTCAGTCACAATGTATTACATAGAACATTTCATATGGTAGTCTTTGTTGGATATATTTAATAATATTTACCCCTTCAGGAAAAATACACATCATTCATATATGAAGGATTAATTAGACAGTTTCACTACTGTCAATGTGTTATTGGTCGTTTTTTGTTGATGTTTTTTTTCTCATCCAATGAGATGAGTTTATGCTATACTCTGGTGAATGGTGTCCCAGCTTAAAGTTTTTGATGCATTGCTAAGTAGTTCTAAGCCATACATGGAACTAAATTGCATGGATGAAATGTGTAGGAAATGCCAACTATGAGACTTGCTTGGGATGCTGCATTTGACTTATAATTTTCATATACATGTATATGGCCAGGATCAAGTTTTTGCAGAAGTTCAATTCTTTAGTACCTAAAACTCCTTACATGTACGTGGACCAAACTTGCATGGTTGATGCAAGTGAAGATGTATACACCCATTTTTAGCTCTACTGGTCAGAGACCAGAAGAGCTTATGCGACAGTAAGAGGTCTGTCGTCCATCCGTCTGTCTGTCTGTCTGTCTGTCTGTCTGTAAACAATTTTTCAAAACGCTACTCCTCCTACAGTTTTGGTCTGATTTCAATATATCTTGGCACATAAGTAGACTACACTAAGATACATAATTCTGTGTATCGGATTTTGATTTCAATGAACAGTGTTGCCATGGTTACTAAAAATAGAGATTTCTGGGAAATACTTTCAAAACGCTATTCCTCCTACAGTTTAGGTCTGATATCAATATAACTTGGCACATAAGTAGACTACACTAAGATACATTATTCTGTGAATTGGTTTTTGATTTCAATAGACAGTGTTGCCGTGGTTACTAAAAATAGAAATTTCTTTGAAAAACTTTCAAAACGCTACTCCTTCTACAGTTTTCATCTGATTTCAATATAACTTGGCACACAAGCAGACTATAATAAGATACATAACTGTGTATCGGTTTTTGATTTCAATGAACAGTGTTGCCATGGTTACTAAAAATAGAGATTTCTTGGAAATACATTCAAAATGCTACTCCTCCTACAGCTTTTGTCTGATTTCAGTATAACTTGGCACACAAGTAGACTACACTTAGTTACATAATTCTTTATACATGTACCAGTTTTGGATTTCAATGAACAGTGTTGCCATGGTTACTAAAAATAGAAATTTCTGGGAAATACTTTCAAAATGCTACTCCTCCTACACTTTCTGTCTGATTTCAGTATAACTTGGCATACAAGTAGACTACACTGAGATACATAATTGTTGTTATTGTTTTTTGATTTTGTTGAATGATGTCACCATGGTTACTTAAATCCAAATTTCTGTAAAATTGTTTTAAAAGGCTACTCTTCCTACAGTTTTAGTCTGATGGCAATAAATCTTGCCACAAAAGGAGACTAAACCAAGGATCATTATTCTATTTATTGCTGTTGCAAAGTTTCAAGTCCAAGTGCTACTTTTATCTTCCTTTATAAGTACAACCAGTAGAGCTATCTCGTCAGAGACTTCTAGTTTAGTATTGCATCAGTTGTTTTCAGAAATATCAAACAAAAAAAAAAAATGCTGTAATGGCAAAATTTAAATTTACATCCTGTTGAATATTCAATTGAAATGAAATTTTACCTCAGTCGTAGATTAATCAAAATTATTACGTGAGCTTTGTAATCTTTTATGACCTATGGTAAACATTTTTAGCACTGTGAAAGATCTGGATGTCTTACCATTTGGCGACATGCGTTTTACTGTACACTTCACCCCAGGACACACTGAAGGGCATGTTGTTTACCTCCTAGATGGGGCACCATTTGGGATGTCAGATTCCTTGTTCTCGGGGGATCTTCTTTTTTTAGGGGGCTGTGGTAAGATACTTAATGTGACACCATTTAATCATTTTACATAATAAATCATTAATATTTTACTCTTTTTATGGTATTGACAATTACTCTTTTCACAAGCATTTTATTTTGAAAAAGCAATTTTTCCTTGAGGTGACAAAACTGAGAGAAAATTTTGTAATATATATTTTTTATCATGTTTGTGTGTTTCCATTTATATTTCTATTATCTATCATATGCATTATATTAATGTAGAAATGATATTTAAATATGATCAGTGATGATTTCATTAATGTCAGTAGCATAGAAACATTTAGTCACACAGATGGACTCAAAAGCATTCTGTTTTTCTCTAGATCTTGCAACTGTTGCTTTGATATCTGGCTCTAGACAGATAATACAATCAGATCAATAAAAGAAATGTATTTTAAAAAAATTTAGTCCAGTTAGGGTAATTAAACATAATGTATAAACTTTTACTGTTTAAGGGAGGATGTTTGAGGCTGCTCCCTTGGTGATGCTGGGATCCTTAGACAAGGTGTCCAATTTAAAGGGGGATGTTCTGGTCTGGCCAGGTACTGTCAACAGCTGGTTTTTAGTCGAAGCAAAAGAAAAAATAATGAATGTCATATTTAAAAGATACATGTTAGATTTCAAATATGAAATACACACATGCATGTAGTTATGTAAAAGATAGTATGTAAAAACGGTGCATATTCTAATGGCTTTAAGTAGCTAAATGTAAAAGAAAAATATTAAAAATACATATGCTGAGGAAATACATGTATTTATAATTTTTTTTCTTATTTTTGTATTCTTTTTTAGGTCATGAATATGCAAATGATAATTTGGATTTTGCATGCCATTTAGATAATTCCAATGAAGAATCAAAGGTATTTTTTTTTCAAAATCCTGATGTCCTTTTAAGCTGCATTTCTTTTTTAACTTAAAGATGAAAATATAGAAAATCAAACCTCATGTCCTCAATCTAAAAAAAACCCTGAGTTATCCAGGGTAATCTACTTAAAGAATAAGGATTCAAAATCACTTTGATATATCCTTGATATTTGAGATATCTATGTTCGAGAAACCGAAGTTCAACTATATTTTGTTTTTGATCAACTTACGGTACTTCAATCACTTTTGATTCCAAGTGAAGATTCTGAAAATATAACAACTTATGCACATGCTGCAAATGCTTTTCTATACATCCTTTGTTTATTTACTACATAAATTTCCTTTTTTTTCCCAATGACTGACAAAACCATTTTTAAAGATATACATACCACAAACAAATTTTCTTATCTCCCATACAGAAGAGTATATTGCTCCTTTTTTTTTTCCCAATATTTCCTTCAATAAAAATCTACTGGTATTCAGGAAATTTTAATTGAGTAAAATGTAAAAATAGATTTTTGAAACTCTACATTAACATAACATCATAGATTTCTAGAAATTTTCAAAAATTATATTAAATTGTTTAGTTACATTTTCTCATTTTTCACCAAATTATGTGGCTTTACCAAACATAAAGATGTTTAACTAAACAGATATCACTTCTTTAGTGAGAGAGGCACTTATTTAATTTAAGACATTTGAATTTTGGAGGAAAATTTTGTTTGTGTTATTTATCCTTCACCATGCAGACATTGACAGAGTTGAGATCTTTGGACAAATGTTTATGATGTTTAACTTCCTGTTTAATGTTAAACTTATGACACATACTGGTGTGTATATATATATTATTACTAATGCATGTAATTTCCATTGTTCCACAGAATAAGTATGAATGGGTAAAGAGCCAAAGAGAAAAGAATCTATGTACAGTAAGTAATTACAATCACTGAAATCCAGCCAGGATTCTCTTAGAATTGTGAAATTCATGTCCCTAGCATTCAAGAATTCAGTTGTATTCCCTATTGTGGCCCCGCCTTACTGCCAGGGACCGTGATTTGAATGAATTTGATTTTGCAATTACTGAGGATGCTTGCATATTCATATGAACAATCATGGCCTTCTGTTCTAAAGAAAAACATTTTTAAAGAGCTTTTTTTCTTTGTACTGTATACAGGGAAATTTTCGCCCCTGTTTTATTTTCGCCCCTTTGGCCCTACACACAAGTGGGCAAATTTAAAATGGGGCGAATTCAAAAATCATAGTATAATTTGTTAAAGAGAATTGTGACTGGGCAAATTTAAAATGGAGCAAAATTGTTTGCAAGTGTGAAAAGGCTAAAATAACATGGGACAAAAAAACCCTGTGTGCAGTATTCTTATATAAAACTTTAATCCCCAATTGTGTTCCTATCCTCTATCCCAGGAGGCAAATTTGAGGGAAAAATAATCTGCAGTATCCCATAATGCTTGCATATCAATATCATTATAATCATTGCCCTTTGGTTCTTGAGAAGATTTTTAATACCTATATATTCCTTTGTAAAACTCTGATCCCTTTATTGTGGTCCCAATCTACCTGTTCTGGGCCATGATTTGAACAAACTTGAATTTGTTCTACTTTCATTGTATCACTAATCATGGCCAGGCTGTTCTTCTTTAATATTCCAATGTAAAACTTTGACCCTTTTTTGTGGCCCCACCCTACCCAGGTCAGCCACGATTTGAACAAACCTGATTTAGCACTTTGTAAGGATGCTTGCTTATCATGGCCTTGCTGTTCTTGAGATTTTTAAACATATTTTTCCTATAAAATGTAATTTGTCTATTTTGGATTCTGAGCACTCTGATATTTTGTTCATTTCAGACTTGAATTGTAGTCTCATGCACTTCTTTAACATTTGTAGTATAAAATAATTCTGTGTAGTCCAGATACTTTCTATTCTGTCATCTGTATGGCAGTATTGGTGCCAAATGCTTAATATGATTAAAATATGAGCACACCCGATACAATCATTAAAACATGTTTTATACTCTCCAGAAACAGTTCTATCATAATATAGATGCACATTTTATATCAAAGGTTGAGCTTATATAAATATTGAAAAACAGCCTAAAACTTTTGGATATTTTAAAGAAATTTTCAGAATATGAGAATAATGATGCAATTAGTGATGTCATGATGCATTGACTAGTGAGAAAATTACATTATTTTCAATATATCACTATGTATGCAGTCACCTAAGGTGCAAGTATTTAAAGCACACCAAATAAAACTGAACAGTTTTGATTTTTAGACATTAAAGGGCCCAGAAAAGGCATTAAGTGAACCTTGCTCTTTGAAAAAAAATACATGTGTAACTTAATTTTGACCCATAATATTGCTCAGTATAGCATGAAATAAATGACAATACAAACAAACTGACAGACAGACTCTGGGCACTCTTTGATCAGAAACACTCTCTTAAGCCTTTTGCTCAAGTGAACTAAACATAAGTAAATGAACATTGATGCAGAAGGTCAAACGTTTATGTACAGATGAGTCCTCAGCGGGGAGTTGTGCATCAAGGTGTACATTGGGTCACGTGCTCCCTGCATCAGTGTTAAGACTGGTAATACAACCTTTATTTATAGAATGTGACCCAGTGAAAACCTTCCGCATATTTCTAACAAATAATTAATCGAAGAAAAATGGAGAAAGTATATTACCATTAATGTTTTGTTTTGTTTTGTTTAGAGAAATTCTTTATTATAGTTAAGTTAAATTTGTTTAATTTAGTGTTTGTATTTCCTCAAAGGTGGTTAAACATACGTACTATATTCTTACTCGTATTTGATTTGGCGGTGAGGAAGCAGCATTTTCGGTTGAACACCGTAACAAAAGCCGGTGTCGCATAATATTTGGTCCGCCTCGTTTAGAGGTCCGGGGGGACCTAATACGATAACATATAAGGTCCGGCCTGCCTCTATAATAAAAGGTCCGCCTTCGGTTTAATATGCAGATTTTTCTCCTTTATTGATTCGAAATTAAATTGCTTTATTAATCTTTTTAAATTATTTAAGGTATAGTTGTTATAAAAGTGTCCCTCCCAGCAAAATGGAGTTCCAGGGACGTACATGTATGTACATTGTATATATACTAAAAGGATCAAGTCTTGCGATATCTCGCTAGTTGCTGGATTTCGTTTGCCAATTTTAATTAATTATATTTCTAATACCACTATGATATATCTCAGTACAAAACCTCAAATTATCTATCAAAAAATTATTCAAAATTTGATGTTAGCACTGATTAACTGTTAGCTCCTTATCGTAGTACATACCTCCCAGGTAGTGCACAAAACAAAAAATATAAAGATGCAAAGTTACCTTATGGGAAAATCATGTACGACATGTGTCTTTTATAGTTTAAGCGATATCAATATTATCATTGCAAAATAAAAAAAGACATATATATATAATACGCATACCTTCACTGGCACATTGTTCAGTATACAGGTATATGGTGTTCGTAAGTCCAACAATGATCATTTCATTACAGTCTCTTTCCTAACAACGTTCGACTTCCACTTCCCAAAAAGAATTTTCATATCTTTCGAAAGATATTTCATTATATCATTAATAATAATTATGCATAATTCTTACAATTCATATTGTACCTAACTATAAAATAATTGGAGGGTCACTTTGACAGGGACTTGTGTTACGGTGTACTAGCCTATCCCGTTGTTGTTAAAACAACATGTCTGTGCTTTGGGGGGTAGGCCTATTGTCTCACCTGACGAAACTTGAAGTCGCATATCCCCCGTGTTTTTATAACCATCGTTTCTTATCCAGTTAAAGACTAACGATTATTTCATTCTACTTGATATTACCCCGGGGTTAACACTGGTTAGGGAAGATGTGCATTAATTGGCAAAATCAAACCAAAGTCAATCGAGTTGAACATTTTAAGCAATAAAACACCCCCTCCCCCAAAAAAGGAAAAGATTATAAATGGTGTTGTTGTATTTTTGGTGGGTGGGGTATAGCAAAATTATGCTGATACATGTCAAATAGTTTAAAAATTACTGATGTTGTAGACTTTCCTCCCGCATTAATATTTTTTCCCGGAAAAACGAGCTTGGGTTTAAAGACCCCTCCCCTTTTGGAAAATGAGCCTAGCATAGGATTTTATTTCCGGATTTTTTTTTAAAATATTGTTTATTTCATTCCCTACATTTTGTAGTTTTCATTTCTGACGTTTTAAAATTTTCATCTCTGACATTTATCGTCATAAAGTACTTTTCCGGCAATGAAAACAAAATTGAAATTTCCCTTATAAAAAAAATTTAAGAATAAATCAAGAATGATTCATTGATTTCCAAATAATAAGTTCTGCTTATATTTAAAAGAATCTTATGACGATTTTATCCTCGGACACATGTAAATGTAAGTTGTGAATTTTTGTTCATCTTTTCAAATCAAGATAATCATACTGAATTTGAGATCAGAAAGGTTTAGATAGAATTTATGACATACAGAAACTATGTTTGACGGAAAAAAGTCATCAAAGTTGAGGAGATTCTGTTTTTCGGTGCTTTCAAACACATATAATTCAGTGGGCATTAAAATTTGGTGATCAAAAATTGCATGTTTTATTATTGAAATGATTGCATTTTATTACTAAACTTTGTATTTTTACTAGACTAGTGTTGATTTTATTGTAAAATGAAAACAAAAAATGTCGGAAATGCAATGCAAAATTTCGGAAATGACATGCAGCGAGCTTGGAAGAAACAACCCCGGCTTCATTAACCACCATAGGAAATACTCAGTACGCTTCAGTGCAGAATTTTCTCCTTTTCCACCTTCTTACTAGGGAGAATCTTATCCACCCATACTATTTACAGAGGGGTTTTACAGAGCAACTTGACATGTATTTCCCCCTAAAATAAAAATGAAAGTGTCTGTTGAGATCGTGACTGATATAAAAATTCATAAAACACCACCAAGTCGTGTTCTTTTGTTAATATTTTTTATATTTATTTTGATTTTGGTTTAAATTAGATTTTCTACGACTTTAAGCGGTTATTTCTTTTTTATTTATGTGTGTGTGATGGGGGGGGGGGGGGGGGGTTATAGTTCTCTTGTTGCACGTCATCAACATTACTAATTAAATAATAATATATATCCTTGGTCCCTTCAGACAGATGTTTATGGTTGCATATAGATATACAATACAGTAGACACATCTCCTGCAAATGTACATAGAGTGGATAACTAATTGACATTAAAGTTTTGTCTTTTTGTAAGCATATTAAATGAAAAAAAGTACACTACTACATGTAGTATATATGCAATTCTTATGCACAATTAGGCCATTTCAAGAGTTTTCTAAGTTAATTTAGCGTCCATCCTAAAATTAAAAACCTAATTATCTTTTTAACCTGGAAAAACACACGAACCAACAAAGAAAAAAAAACAATAGGAACTTACAGCATTTCCATAATTTTTGCTTTGTAAGTGAGATATATGTATGTGGGAAAAAAGAAAATCAGAGGGCGGACCTTTTATTATACTGCATTTTAAGGTCCGCCCTGCCATTTTAACGAGTTTTTTTTTACGCTACGATAACTTTTAATAAACTGTTCAAAATATTCGCCTTGTAATAGTAAGATATCTGAAATACAGAGGGCGGACCTTTTATTATACTGCGTTTTAAGGTCCGCCCTGTCTCTTTCTCTAGTTTGTATGCTACGAAAATAAACCCTGTTCAAAATTTTCGCCTTGTAATAGTAAGATATCTGAAATATAGAGGGCGGACCTTTTATTATACTGCGTTTTAAGGTCCGCCCTATCTCTAGTTTTTATGCTACGAAAATAAACCCTGTTCAAAATTTTCGCCTTGTAATAGTACGATATCTGAAAAACAGAGGGCAGACCTTTTATTA